CTGGAGTCAGAAGGATTGCCTGGAGTTGTCTACCCGTGAGAGGTCGATTGGCAGCCGAAGGCTACGCACTCATCTCGAAAAAAGGATGGATACCAGGGCCGGTTTGACAACACTCTGCTTTGCATAGGCCTGTGTTTCCGCAGCGTACACAGCAACATCGGCATCAACGCTTTCCAGCCATTCCAAAAACACTTCAGCTCCGAAACGAACAAAGGTGCCTCATCCACGAGGAAATCGGCCGCTTAGTTAAAAAGACCCCACTCCCTCTCCATCTCCTCCCCATCCCCCCCCCCCCCCCCCCCTCCATCTCCATCTCCTCCCCATCCTCCTCTTCCCCCCCCTCTTCCCCCTTCCCCCCCCCCAACCCCCCCACTCCATCTCCATCTCCCTCCCCATCCTCCCCTCTTCCCCCCCCCCTCTTCCCCCTTCCCCCCCCCCCAACCCCCCCACTCCATCTCCATCTCCCTCCCCATCCTCCCCTCTTCCCCCCCCCCTCTTCCCCCTTCCCCCCCCCCCAACCCCCCCACTCCATCTCCACCTCCCTCCCCATCCCCCCCCTTCCCCCCCGCAGTCGGCCGAGGCGCATGGCCCACCACCACGGCGTGGTCCAGCAGCGCGTTGGCCTTGGCCACCGCCAGCCTCGTGGGCAGCACCGCCAGCTTCGGCCTCGACGACTCGAGGCGCGCTCGCGTCGCAGGAACGGCTGTTTTTGTTTTTTGTGTTCTTCGTTTTTTCTGGGGGGGGGTTGTGTCCCTGGGAATTTTTGTTTGTTGTTTGTTTTCTTCTTCTTCTTTTTTCTGGGGGGGTGGGGGGGGTTGTGTCCCTGGGAAATGGTGTCTATAAAAGTTAGGGGGAAAAATCGATGGGTGGGTGAGTCAGAGTCAAAGCCAGGTGTTTGTACCAGGTTTTGCCAGTTATAATAGTTATCATCAAAACCGATCGGTACAAACATGAAAAATGATGAACTCAAAACCCATGACATTGGTTTTGAGTTCACCATTTTGAATTTGGTAGATGAAGGTTAGTACGGGACACTCCCAACCATAAATAGGTGCCTTCGTAACTCTTTACAATTGCAAGGAGTTGCGAAGGAGGCCGCACCTATTTATGGTTGGGAGTGTCCCGTACTAACCTTCATCTACCCGGGTTTTCATTGTGGCTCAGGTGACTTTTTCCAGGGAACAAAGATTGGGTTTCCCTGGCAAATGGCTTATGAAACTCATGTATATGAGTGGAACACATCTATTTCTGGCCAAGCGACGCCTGTGCCCAAAGCCTTTGGAACCATAGGAGAACTACCCCAAAAAGCTGCTAGGCGACAAAGCGAGAGGAACACGACCAAAGGGTGACGTAATGGCAAGCGAGAAAAAGCGAAACTAAAGGGGTGGGGGGGGACAAAAAGAAGGAAGTGAAACGGAGGACCGGGGTGCTCAGCCCCCACCCCCCCGTGACCTCACCCAGACCGGTTCCTCAGCTCGCCAAGAGGCAGCTCCCCCTTCTTGGCGCACTCGAAGCGCTCCGCATCCAGGCCAGTGAAGGCGGTGCGCCAGTCCGTCACCTCCTCGCGACGTCGCCAAAAAGCGACGTCGACCGCGGCACAAGGCGAGCCAAAGGCCGAGGAAGCCGGCAAGCCAATGGCAAGGACATGGGAAATGTGGGAAACTCCGCTCCTTCTATCCTTCTCTGCAGGGGCAAAGTGGGCATTTGTTCCTATGGTTTTATGACGATGCTTGTCTGAGTTGGTATCGTGGGCCCCTCGAAAGTGGCAAAGTGCCCCTGAAGCTGCCCCATCCCCCACAGAATGTTCTGTCCTCCTCAGGCTCCGTAAGGCAGTCCAGAAGGACCTGCACCACATTTGGCCAAGGGCATGGCAGATTAAAAAGAAGGCCTTGCCCAGTCGGGCAATGTGGAAGGATCTGTTTTTGAATGACAAGTGTATCACCCAGTCTTCTTCGCTAGCAGGTTGCTCAGTGCCAACAGGACCGGAAGCAGTGGACCCTCGGGGCGCCATGATTTGTAAACAAGGACCTCCGTCGATGCAGTAGAATCACCACTGGAGGGCTATGGCCTGCACTGGCTTCCCTGGAATGCATCAGTTGCTCCTGAATCGGTTTGCTTGAAAGGGAACAACTTCTGACCTCTTGTGCCATTCCGTGCCTCGGTTCCGACTTGCACAAGCAAACTCCATACATCACGTGTACTCGTACGCAGACATGGCAAACCCCAATAGACTCAGTCTCAGCTTAGCCGGGCACAACCCTAATTACTCCGGATTCCTGCTTTGCCAACTTTAGGGTACGCAAATAAAAAATAAAAATAAACAAATAAAAGTGTATATGTAAATACTTCCAGACTCTCTTACCTGCGTTGCCTACCCTAAAAAGAGACATTTATGCTGAGAGTAGGCCCCAGCATCCTAGAGGCTTCGCCAAGCTAAGCCGCTGGCACGGGGGCCCGTGCCTTGCCCCGCCGGCTCACCACCGAGATGCGGATCAGCACCGAGCTCTTTCCTGGCGACGCTCAGCTGATGAGTTGACCGAAACCAACATGCAGTTTGGTCCTGGGCTGAAATACGGAAGAAACCTGGCAACAAACGGTTTGAAGTTCGTCAGCTTAGACAACCACGTGTGTCCCAAAGCAAGCTGGAGATGACTCTTTCGGGGTTCCCTGCATAGCTCCTTCAAACATCACCCACCAAAAGCTCGTTTTGAACTTGCCCAGGTGACGTTTAAAAACCAGCAAAAGGAGAGACACCTAGTACACCTAGTGAACCACGTCATTTCCCCGAGGTCCGAAGTTCAACATCAAGTCTACCATATACCTCAGCTTCTAAACAAAAGCTGACTACGTTTGATGCAGCTCCGTAGCGATTCTTAAATGTCAAACTCATTTCAAGAGACGAGATCCGAGCTGTAAAATGGGCATCCCCTCATTTGCCCATGCTGGAAAGCCAGGATTCGGCCAGCTACCAAGCGATCTCAGAAGCTCGGATCCAAGGCTCCTTTCGGCCCCACGCCCACCATCTCGCAGTCCAGCCCGCGCACGCGGAAGCGGGGCCGGAAACTGGCACGGGTTTGAGAAAAGCCAACCTCTAGGCTTGAACGTGGCCCAACCCAAACTGCACCAAACACATCTAGCCTACCCTAAAAGTCAACGCAGCTCTCTTTCTTTCTTCTTTGTTTTTTGGGGGAGGGGGTCTCACCCAAACAAACGTCTATCGCTTAAACAACCGCCCTTTGGCTTCGGCTTTCGGAGAAGACACAAATGGGGGAGGAAAAGTTGGCCTCACAACGACCCGACCGCTTCGAACCAATCAGCCCCCCGCACCGGGAAAGTCACAGAACGGAGCACCTCCATTTCCACACAACCCCCAAGATGGGTTCCGCCCACCACCAACGTATGTATACATATATATGTATATATGTATGTATGTATGGATGTATGGATGTATGGATGTATGGATGTATGGATGTATGGATGTATGGATGTATGGATGTATGGATGTATGGATGTATGGATGTATGGATGTATGGATGTATGGATGTATGGATGTATGGTATGTATGTATGTATGTATGTATGTATGTATGTATGTATGTATGTATGTATGTATGTATGTATGTATGTATGTATGTATGTATGTATGTATGTATGTATGTATGTATGTATGTATGTATGTATGTATGTATGTATGTATGTATGTATGTATGTATGTATGTATGTATGTATGTATGTATGTATGTATGTATGTATGTATGTATGTATGTATGTATGTATGTATGTATGTATGTATGCGTGTGTTTTATTTATGTGTATACGTGTCATCTACAACCTGAAAGGTACAGCAACATGGGCTATGCAAACAGTTTTCCCTTGCGGGTTGTGCCTACGCAGGGGGGGGCGGGGGAGCTCGGGAACTACCCTGCGGAGTGCTCCCCGCCTCTGCGCCCCATCCCCGTTGAGCGAGGCGCTCATGGCTTGCACGGCGCATCCAGGGGCAAGTGGTGGCGCCCCGTGTTTCCAAGCCGATCTAACCTGCTGAGCTGACTGGCCGGCACGGGGAGAAAAAGAAAAAAAAGCATTGCCCCTGAGGAAGACACCTGCCAAAAGTATTTAAAGTTTGCCAACTCGGGTAAGCAGAGGAAACTCACACCATAACGGCCCAGAGGTGAGGTTTCAAGCCCCGAAAGGGGAAAAGGGGAAATCTTCGGAACCCAGGAGTGGGAAGAGCATCTTTGTACAGAAGGTGTCTGCCTCGTTCACTGCAGGGTTGAAGCACAGAATGTCAGGAGCCAAGATGATTTCCACGCTCAAGTTACAGTGTTCAGCTTCACTCATCTGCGGCTGCTTGAATGGGACACCGGGCAAGCGGCCAATAAAGCGTCGCGAGAACTGCAATCACGACGGCTGGTGAGGCACAACAGTTTGACATCTACGCACTTGACAACAGATCAAGGATTCCAAGGACGCAAGACCTTTCTGGGTGCCGTCGAATACATGCCAAGAAGCAAAGCAAGCAAAGCGAAGAACGCTGAGCGCAGTGGTTTGCACGCGCATTCGCGAATCCCAAAGATTGGCGAAAAAGCAGTTGGGTGTTTCCTTAAGCGTCAGGACCCCCAACGACAGCAGGGGTTGTGTCACAACATTCACAACCAAAACGAAAGCGCTGCTGGGACAACAGGACGCGGATGGTTCAGGGAGCCGATGTAGAGAGCGCCCGTGCCACTTCCAAAGTCTTTCTCGTTGAAGTAAAATGGCCATCGTTGCCCTTTTGCCCGCTGAAAGACGGCAAAACAACCTGGGCTGGTGGACCCGCCTTTTGTGGAGAACGCCTTTAAACTCCGCAAATGGCCGTGTCAAGAGGGAAAAAAAAAGAAGAAGAAAAACGGGGGAGCCGGCAAACGTGGGGCTCGTTCTCCTTCGGGCATCTCCCGAAACGGCGTTTTTCCTTCACCCACAGGCCCGCCCCCAAACCCCAAACCCGGAGCGAGCCGGCGGCGCCCCGTCTGCCACCAGCCCTGGGGACGCAAGGGCCGGAAGCTGGTGTTGGTGGCGCGGCCTCGGATCCATCGATCCCATCGATCCCATCGATGCCACGGGTCTCTCGCTTTGAGGGACCCTCCCCCACCAAAAAGAAGAGAGAAGTGATCGATGTTCTTGTTGGGTTTCCCCAGAAAAAACCCAAAGGAGGGAGAGAAATGTACGTTTGAGGGGGTCTCCGTTTTGCTTGGCTGAGGGAACCCAAAAGAAAACCTACTGGGTTCTCGCAAAACCCACAAGGTGAGGCATGCTCCCGTTCGACGCGGCAAAAGCCCGGCTTCGGGGAAAGCAAGATTTTCGACCGCTGCCCCGATTCCTCTGTTTGGGTGCCCCCTTTTGGTTGGTTTTAACGGGGGGCCAAAAGGAAAACCCACCATGTGTGGGGCTCATTTTGAGAATTGGTGCAACCCGGCTACCCTGTTTGGAAAGGGGTCCTCTGGTTTTCCTTCCCCTGTTTGGGAACTTGGGTCGGACAGCGGACTGACCGCCGTTCTGAAAACCTGCGCCTTGCCACGGACCACTTTCAAGCCTGACTTGTCCCATTGCCTCCACCAGGTCAAACAGTGTGTGTGTGTGTGGTGCTTTCCCTAGAGGTCTGTCAATGAGATGATTCCCCAAGCTGGTGAAAAACTTCAGCAAGTGAAAGAGCAATTGCGAAAGCAGCATTTGAGCTCACAGCTGCGCAAGGAAACTGCACATGGGATTCCCAAACAGCACACAAAACAAAGAAAATGAAATCCAGATGAAGCCAAACAACTTGGGTTGCCCCTCCATTTGCCGAACAGCAAGGAGCCATGAATTGGTCGGGACCCGGGCCGAGGACCTCCATGATGCGTTGCAACCTTGGCTTTGCCGAGAAGAGCCCCGACTTTCTGGGTGGAGTGTGGGGTGGTTTTTCGCCACGAAGAACAGGTGTCCAAGCCATGTCTAGCCGCAAAAGTCTCAGGTCCCCGCCAGTGATTTTGGTGCTGGAGGCCGAGACGCTCCCTATGACGGGACTTTGAGTATCCCTGGCTCCTAGAACTTTCTCAAACAAGACATGTTACGAGTCACCGCCATTGAGACATCCCGAAGAAACCTTCATGAGGTCGGAATGACTCATTTTACTCCCAGCTCGCGTTTGTTTTCTGCAGGGAATCGAGTCTTTAGACATTCATTTCAGTCACACTTCCGGCCTTCCACACCGGGTTCCTTGCATGCCCCCTTCGGCAGAATTCTGCCCTCTTTTGCACCCCCCCCCCAAAAAAAAAAAAAAAAAGGACAAAGGACAGAGCCGCGGGTGCGCGCCCGCCTCTCTCCCCCGAGGGCCGCGCCCAAGCAGCCAAGGAGCGCCTGCTCCGCCGGGAGGTACTCCGCCAGCTTGAAGCGGTCCGCCCCCCGCGTCAGCAGCGCCCAGTGGTAGGCCTCCGGCGATCTCCGCGGACCCAACCGATCGATGCCCTGCGCCTGGGAAACCGAATGAAAACCCAAAGGACACCGCTGCCATGTTAAGGGACCAATGGCCAGAGACCAGCCATGGTTTCAACACCTTTCTGTGAAAAGGTGTTTGGGCAAAAAAACAGGGGCAGTTTGTTTGTTTAACTGCCCGGTGATGGTGGATTTTTTTGGAAAATGGTCCTGTCTTCCTACTTGGCATTGTGTGCAGCATTGAAGTCAGCCATAGCATGACCACCAAACAAACATGACCATGATCCCGTTCCTCAACGCTCTGTTGAATCCATGCGGTGGGTTGACGGCGAAAATCCAGCACTAAGTGCAAAGTGACCCACCAACGCCTTGTTGACAAACACATACGTTCTTGAAGCAAGGCGTGGGGGGGGGGGGGCGGACAAGCGCCTATTCTAAAATCAGTGTGGACATGAGGGGGCCATCCGGAAAGGACAGTTTGCCAAAAGGGAAAGGAGCAGACGTGCTCACTCGCCACTCATGGGCGCCCTTTAACGCGAATGAGGCCAGTGCTTAAAATCTCGAGTTATCGAATTGGAATATGGAGCCTACTTGTAAGCTATTTCTGGAGAAGTTTTGGCAAGATGTTGAGTCTCAAGACAACACTGTTTTCAGACAGGATTCCGGGTTTGATGATTCACTTTCTGTTCGTGCTCCTGCCAGTGGACACGAGAGGGCAAGATGGCACTGAACTCATGTTTGCCTTCAGAGATTCATGTCAAGGTCAAAATCCTGCTTAACTCACATGGATGGTCAACAATCAGACAAACTTAGCATTGATAAATGAAAAGCCGGCTAAAGAAACTGCTGCCTGTCACTCCGATGGGCTGATAACCGGTGGCGCCGCCTTGGAGCCAACTTCTGGGACCCTTTTTCTCCTGATGGAGGGCCTGAAACTTCTGGAAAACCTCCGCGGGGTTCTGAAAGTTAGCTGCCCTTTGGAAAGCATGGGATGGCACGTGCAAATGAAATCCGCAATCATGGGCAATCAAACGGCAATCGGCCAGTACCCACTTCCGAAGTGACCACCAGATCGATCTTCCCAAAGATTTGAAGTCCTGGGAAAGTGCGACTCAGGACCAAGTATGTCAGTTTCCCTCCAATCGGTGCTTTGCATTGATGCTTTGGTTTTTTTCGGTGGTTTCCGTTCAAAATCTCCCCTCACATGCCCAGTGGCCATGGGAAAAAAAGGGCACCCTTTCTTTGTTGCTTGAGTTTAAAGGGAAACCCTTCCCCAAAAAACGTGGGGAAAAAGGGAAGCAACCCAAACCCCGGGCCGCCCAAGCTGCAAGCTCCGCCTCGTCCGGCAGCTCCGCGCCTTGGCTCTTCATCTGCTGCATCGCCGGCGCCTCGCGATGCGACGTCTGTCGGTGTCCCCCGAGCTTGGAGCCCTGCGGATGGACGAAATCTAAAGACCGCACCGCCTAAGACCCCTGGAAGGAGGAGTCCCCTGTAGATACCAACAAACAATGGTTTCAACCATGGTTCTTAAATGGTCAGGGATTTCGGCCATCTACAGTAGGACTTCAAATGTCGCTGGAGTCTGTTCCGGCCGATCAAACTGGTGGGTTTTCCCCACCAGTTTTGATCGCTAACTATGAAATGGCTCAGAACCCTGTTCCGAGAAACCTTCCTGGGAGAGAAAGGGAGGTTCTGCGCGGGAGGAAGGACCACCGGTCGAGTGGCGGCGAAGGCACCTGGAAATCCGGTCAAGCAGTGGGGTGCGTCGATTGGGGTTCCTAAGTCTCAAGCGCCTGCGACCACTTGAGATGCAACATGTGGGATATCGAAACCGAGGCATCTTGTGAAGTGCCACTGCCTGTTGCTTAGAAAGCTGAAATGCCTCATTGCCTGACAGTCTTGGCTCGAAATTGGGGTTGGCATGAACATATTAATTTTGCTTTTTACGCATATTCCTCCTTCGCTGCCCGTTCGATCCACTCTTAGACACATCCCCTTTTCCATTCCCCCAGCCGTCCAACCGCCCCCAACACCCCCCCCCCTCTCCCTCCCGGCCAGCGCCGGCTGCAGCTGCTGCCAGCACTGCTGCAGCAGATGCCGTGCGGAAGCGCCGTCCTGCGCCACCTGCTGAAAGAATCGCCACATCCGATGCACCCGGGCGGGGGGGATGGGCATGCGCAAACCGGAGACGTGCGTAGGATGCCTTAGTGCGTGCATTTGAATATATGTATGCAACCCCCCCTGATGGATCTACCGTTTTGCTGTTTGAAGGCTATTTTGGAGATGGAACGCAGTTGTTTTATTTGGAATGCCCCATGAAACTTGACCAGTATCAGCTCACCCTAAGCAAGAAAATCCTCTTCAAATACTAATTTGGAATAACAATTCCAATTGTGTATTTGTTCTTTAAAAGGGAAATCCTAGTTAGATTATCTTTTACTGAATTATGTCCTTATTAGATTCCAGGTAATTCCAAATAGAAAGTGGAGAAACAATATCCCGAGAAAGGATGTTCTCTGTAAAACAAATTTTGAAGTAAGAATCCCAATTAACAATGTTCTTCAAAATGGAAATTCTATTCAAATCATCTTGAAGTCTAGAAATTATATTAGACGGTGTTCACTCTTAATTTCTATTTAAGTTCTAATTCGAATAATGAACGAATCATCATGGACAGACACATCCTTTTGAACATCTAATTTGAAATAAGACGTTCAATTGAGAAAAAACAACAGTCTTTTAAAACACCTATGCAAAGTCTCTTAAAAACCAGATATTTTATTATACTTATGTCCTTACTAAACTCTTATTGAAACTATGCCAACAAATCAACCCGTTTGAATATCTAGTTTGCAATAGGAATTTTGATTGCACATCTTGCTCGACAAGGAAATCTTATGTAAATTATGTTTGAACTAGAAACTCTACTAGGGTTTGTTCCTCGCTAAAATCCATTTCAATTCTAATGAGAAAATTCAACACAATCCTAGAACAAGATCCTTTAAAATCGGCTTTCAAATCTATTTTGAGACAAGAATTACAATTGATGTTTTGATGTTTAATCCTTATTGCATATTTAGAATTCCAAGCCAAAAAACACTCAAAAGGCAAACAAAAAGAGTGAGTTTATTTGAACACAAAAAAACATGTGTCCAATCAAATTCATTGAACACACATCCGCGAGAACTAAGTTTTCTATAAGCGTCAGTCAATAAACCCCAAACCCTACACCCTAAACTTGTCCAAAGCTGAGGCTTGGTCAGAAGATGCAAAACAGGTTGGAGCGAATGGCCCAAAAGTGAAAACGTAAAAACGTAAAATGAAGGAGCCCATAGCCCAAAAGCAAAAGCGTAAAGTTCTGCAGCCAATGACCCAAAACAAAAAACTGGAGCCAATGACACAAAAGCAAAAAAGCACATTTCTGGAGCCAGAGACTCAAAAGTAGAAACAAAAGTAAATAAGTAAAAGGCTATAAAGTAAAGAAAAAAAAAGAAAGAAAAGCCCATGGTCCTGAAGTAAAATGCTTTGACCATGGACTGACATAGTTACATCATGTTTTTTTTTTTTTTTTTAACGTTTGTACTTTTTCCCATTTCTGTTTTTACATGTTTACTTTTGGGTCATTGGCTCCGGATGTTGTTTTTATTTCTACTTCTTTACGTTCTCGCTTTCATCTTTACCTTCTTCTGACGTAATTGCAGGCCTGGGAAAAAGGCACTGGAAGATCATGGCAATGCCATCAAACTTGCTCATTCCAAAAAAAATCCAACACATCCCCTGCCCTCCCTCCCGGCCAAAGGGGCTCAAACCCTTCTAGGACCCCGTTCCATGCCCGGCGTCCGAAAAAAATGCGCGCCCTGCCCGAAGGCGCCGGCGTTTTCCGGCGTTTTCCGGCGCCTCTGCCAAGGGGCGGAGCTCATAGTCCGCCCAGGACTTGAAGCCCAGCCTTAGTTGATCAAAGATGCCAGGGCTGTCGAAGGGCCGGGGCCGGGGCCCCCAAATAGCTCGCCACCGGGTTGCTGTTGACCCCCCTGCAAAAAGTGTTCTTGTTGCTGTTGTATTTAAAATATGTTTAAACAAAAAAAAAAATGGGGGGGGGGGGGGTTAGTGGAAAACCCAACTTGATATTCCCAAAAAGCTAAAGCCTAAAGATCCAACCCAATAGCAGTCAAGGCCATTGCTTCAACCTCTCCCTGCCTCTCTTCCGCATTGCTTCAAGCTTTTGTTCCCCCACCGATGTTGCCATAGAACCCACTTGGAGATATGATCCCCTTCTGGTCTTCCAGCTGGTTCCGTGAGCTACTCACCAGTGTGGGCACCGGTGTCGTCTGAACGCGCTGGCCGAAATGAGCCAGCTATTTCCGCAAGGTTGCGAACAGCGTCTGCTGAAAAGCATTGCTCGAAGTATGCGCTCACGTAATTCAAATAAGCACGATGATGGTGGAACTATGGCTGCCAGGTCAGAAGGGGCACGAGCCTTGTCGGGCATGACGGAGATTTTCTTTTTGGTGCCCGGAAGGCTAGAAGTGATGAGAACCAGTGACAGAATCCCTTTTCTTTTTTCACGAGTCAAACAAACAACCCCTGTGCCCAGACGTCCGTGTGGAATGGACCTTCCCCTTCGGACTCCTGCTTCAGGACGAAAAAGAAAGAGAGAGAGAGAGAGAGAGACAGAGAGAGAGAGAGAGAGCGAGAGAGAGAGAGAGAGAGAGAGAGACAGAGCGAGCGAGAGAGAAAAAAAAGAGAGATAACACTAACCATGACTGATTGAATTGACCCACCGTCACTCAGCAGCACGCAGTTTCGCGCCGCCATGTTTCGCCCGCAAGCCGCGCCAAGTGCGCGGCGAAAGTGCGCGCCTGAAGTGAGGCCGGCCTTGGCCATATCTGGACGTAGGCCGGGCCGGCCAGGTGAGACACCCCTTGAAGCAAGGCAGCTTATCTTGGGCCCCAGCGACAGTCATACACCTATGCTGGAAGGATCAGCATGATCTTGATGGCAGGGGGGGTCGCCTTTATCTATTCGCCAACATCCATTTGCAATATAATATATATATATATATTTCCATGCATATACAGAATTACGTGTAACAACACCTGCATGTAGGTTTGACATCATGCAAACCGAGTAGGGAAGAAACCGCCTTGCCCACCTCAGGCAAACGGCTCCTCTGGCCGCCCGCGCGTCCGCGAGGCTCTCCTCAGTCCCGGTCACTGGAGGCGTCCCGGTCGGTGAGCTCGAAGACCCGCAGCGGCGCCTGGTCCGGGCGGTAGGCGTGGATCAGCAGCACGTAGATGACCTCAGGGCCGTGGAGTCACACCAGGACACCCCCCCCAACGGTGGTGTTCCTTGTGGCTTCCTGTTAACCAGCCCCCCCCCCCCAAAAAAAAAAAAAAGTGTTAACCAGCCCCCCCCCAAAAAACAAAAAAACACAGCCCCCCCCCCAAAAAAAATTAATAATAATAATAATAATAAACAAATAAAAATTAACCAGCCCCCCCCCCAAAAAAAAAAGGGAGGGAACAAAAAGACGCAGGTCCTCAAGCAAGACACGCCCAACCGGACCCTTGGGTGGGCAGAGAACACTTAGATCGGCTTCGGTTTAGTGAGTGGGGTGGTTCCGTTTTACCCTCTGCAAGACTCGTAAAGGAACAGAGCAACGGACAGCCAGGTGGCGAGGAGCAAGAGATGTGGCTTTTTGAAAAAAACTGGGTGAATCATTCCAAGCCCAACAACCCGAACGAGGAATCGGCGGCCGGATGAAGGTGGCAAGGTACCCAGCCCCGCATCTCCTTGAGGACCAAGAAGAGCCACTGAGCGTCCCAGGGGATGATGGTCACCTTCCTCGGCTCCCATCTCAGAGTCCCCTGAATTCAGCTCAGATGTCCCCATTGCCAACATTGAACCGGAAAGTCTTGGTTGACGTTGGAAGGGGAGCAACAAATTAAATTTTAGCAGTTAAGTGGGGATTTCAACCACTAAACCGCAATAAGCAAAAAACATATTTCCCAACAACAACCATGGCATCAGGTTCCTGAAAGCATTCCTGCACAGCACCAGAAAACCCACAGCGCGAGCGGTGCGCCTTTTGACAGTGAGACATGCCGAGTGGCAGGAACAGCTCCACCGTGGGGGCAATGATGAACATCAGAAAGACCTTGGCACGGCTGCCCAAGGACTTGTCCAAGGGATTGATCAAAAGCCCCAGTCCATGTTCTGAGAGCTTCGCGCCCCTCCCCCTCGCCCCTCGCAGAAGAAGACGGCCACTAAAGAGGACCCCAACAGAGGCAGATTGCAGAGGAGCTCCTTGTTGCCTGTTAAGAGATTGATCCCCACTGCCCCGGATTGATCCAAGAGATTGCTGGATAGCAATCGCCCCAAGCCAAGTCGAAGATATCATGAAATTTAAATATTGGATTTTAAGTTGACGTTGGAAGTCGACGTGGCAGACACCAGCTAACACAACCGCTGGCCGGGCCATAGCGCGAATGCCAAAGCAACATCTCCCCCGGATCTGTCTCTCGCATCTGGGAGTTCAAAAATCATCCCACATACCTTGTGAGGCAACCCTCCCATGAATATGAAGGGGATTTCTTTCGTGGTATGCTCTAAAAATATTCTGTGGGGCTCTTGGTAAGAATGCTGAGATGAGATTCAAGGGTGCAGGGCAGCAACACAGGCAGGCTTGGGCTAAGGGCTCCCCTGATTCCGGATCTCCTCCCCCACCTGGTCGTTCTCCCCCCCCCAAGTGTTCGTCGGCAGCTCTCTCATCGTTACCAAGGACAAAAGTCGCTCAAAAACGGCCCAACAGCCCAACAGCTGATGCTTACGACAACCAAATAATATGCATGTGTCTTTTTCGGGGGCACCCTTTTGGGTTGGTTAAAATTTTGGGGGGTACCCTTATGTCAAACCCATACGTGGACTGAGGCCCTGGGCCCACCGGAAGAGGTGATAGGCATAGAGCTTCTTGTACAGCTTCCCGCTTTCCTGGGAGGCTGGCGCATCGGCGATGGCGGACACCAACTTCTGCAGGTTGAAGTTCATCGCCACCTAGGCCGCCCAAAAAAGCAAATAAGCTCAGGTGATATCCCCAACAGCATGCGGGGCTCTTTTCAGTGCTCGCACCACCCCGCAGAACCTCGTGGAACCCTCGTGGAACCCTGGTCGAACCCTGGTGGAACCCTGGTGGAACCCTGGTGGAATTGTGGTGGAACCCTGGTGGAACCCTCGTGGAACCTTACCTCAGGGCCGCTCCGAACCACCCCGGGGCCTATCTGGGCTGAGACCCCAAAGCTTTCAGCTGTTGGGGAAAAACCAAATGGGTTTGGCTTGCCTCAAAAACCAAGTAACAAGCCTTGCCCTCAAAATCAAGCCCGACAAGTACGCCCAACAGTCCCGAAACCTGCCCCAACCTGTCCGAAAAGTGCCCCAAACCCAGGATTTGCAGATCAACATTGTAGCTGTCCCTGGTGGGCAGGTGGCTGTGGCTGTGGCTGTGCGTGTGTGGGTGTGTGCGTGAGCGCGTGTTTGCATTCATATGCATCCGTGAAGTGCGCGGTATGTGCAGAGGTGCATGCATTTGAGTATATATGTGTGTGTGTGTGTGCACCTGTGCACGCGCAAATGTGTGCATACCACAAGTACGTCAACATACATAAACAAATCAACAAGTAAATGAACAAACTGAATAAATGAATGGAAGAAAACACATACACAAGCACATACAATACATATGCATGTAATTGAGATATGGCTCACATATATGTATATATATATATACAGATAGATATATATATATATATGTGTGTGTGTGCATATATATATAATGTTTATATATATATATTAATATGTATATATATATGCGTGTGTGTGTGTATGGCCGTGTGTGTGTGTGTGCATATGCACACACGTTGTTGCGTGCCTGCATGTCTGCATTCACACACACACACATGCGAGCAAGGAGTTCCATGCCGGGTAGGTGGGCAGCGTCCAAACTTGCAGAGCCTCGCCCTCATGCAGCGCAAGAGAGGATCCTGGACGGTAAGTTGACCCGCTAGAGGAACCGGAAACCGCCGCATGGGAAGAGCTTGCAACATGAAGGTGTGCAGACCCTTTCAGGAGGAGTTCCGCCTCTCATTCCATGCTTGTCTCAGCTGTATGTCTGTGACTCGCACACTCTTGGACTTGGGATGGGCATCCCGTTGTATGGCCATACCGAAAGTTGCAACAGCGCCCCTGGCCACCAGAAATGCAGCCAAGTCGTTTCTTGGAGCTTTTCGACATGCAAGATTCATGTCCCGCAACTTGGCCGGAGACATATTCCATCACGCGTTGCCGGACAGCCCGGACGGTAGTTCGTGAGGCCCTCTGAGCCCCGGGCGATCACGACCAAGTAGCCTCAGCGCCAGACCCCTTTGCGGCCCAGTTGGGCCAAGGACGAAATTGACGGTCACAGGCGCGTGGGAAATTCGGTGGGCCCCTCTTCGGTTCTTCGGTTTGCGCGGCCGAATTCTCCCTCCCAAATTGACCGTGGAAATGTTGACCAAACCTCATCCGGTGCGTGTGTCCAGCATGGTGGACCCAGAAAATGGATGAGTGGCTTGGCTTCCCCTTGAAGCCCAACCCAAGGGTCCCTCAGGCAAAAATAATCTGGACCCCAGAAGCGGTTGGTGTCCTTTTGCTTCCTATTTGAAACGCGATCCCAAAAATCAGGCCAAAAATGGCCCAAACGTTGCCTTTTGACTTGCAGCCCCCAGAATACGACCTCGGACAACCCGAACACCTTCAAACAGTGAGGCCCTCACGTCGGTAAGTCGCGTCATGTCGCGTCCCAAGTTTGAGTGATGCCGGTCCGCGTTCCCCCGTAAATGCCTCCCAGGGAAGCCCTGGAACCGTTTGCTTCCCGTGCAAAAGCATCTCCGCGACGAGCAGCACAAAGAGTGGAGGATGTAGCGGCTGAGCTGGTAACCGCTGCACGTAGACGGCGTGGTGCATGCCACCTAACTGAGGGTACCCCTTGCGTAGTCAAAAAAGGAACCCGAACGAAACGGAACCCAAAAGGGCGCTGAAAACAGAACCACTTCCACCACCTGCTGCTTCTTCCACTTGGCCCCAGGCACAACAGCACAACAGCTCTGGAGGTGGGGGTGGGGGCTACTTACTTACGTAGGGGAAGGGACGAAACGACGAGCTACTCGAGTATGCGAAGGTTAGTTGCTTGCGGACTGGCATGCTACTTTTTGAAGGGGGGTTGGTTCCTTACGTGTGGGAAGGCCACTTACTTGCGGACAGGTCGGGAGGATCGTCCGCCTGCTATTGGTGCCTGGGTGATATGTTTTCTTGGGGATACGCAAGGCTGGCATGGCCATGCGGCCTCCGGTCCTAAGTGGGGCCCGCCCAAAAGTCTGGACTTCTTGTCTCCAAATACAAAAGGAAAGCACCCAGCTTAGCATCAAGTTCAGAAACTGACCTCGCTTTTGTTTAGCTGGGCCAAGGTCACTTCTTCCCATGAGCTGAGCTTCCAACAATCTCCTGTAATTACCCCGCTCCTGCCTGGATTCCCTGAGAACTATCCCCATTTCTACGGCCAGTTTCACCTGTGGGCCTGAAAAGCCAGCCATATCTGTCTAATTTCAGCCTTTCTGCCCGTGGCGCCTCAGAACGAGCAGTGAGTTCTGCATATGGCCAGTTCTGAAGGTGCAACCCGGGGAAAAGTGGAACTAAACGGTTGCCAGCCGCTCAATGCTTGAAGCACTGCAACCTATTCGCCCAATGCCTCACTTGCGGCGGTTTTTAGTAGAGGGCACTTTGTTCCGTAGCAACGCTTGGGCCTCGGATTCGAAGCGCATTCAGAAGTGAGGGCCATGGGAGTGCCAGAAGGCTCCCAGCCATGCAACCCCATTTCTGGGGCTTGCAACCCCATTTCGTGGGCTTGCAACCCCATTTCGTGGGCATTTGAAGGCTTCCCACCTGTAGGAAAACCCAAAAGAAGCCCCAAGAGCAGTGGCTTCCCTTTGGAGCTCGGGCCTCCGTCCCTGCCCATGGGGTCCGATCGAAACAGGATATCCCACGGCAGCCTAGCATTGCCCCTCGTAAATTAGACGCCCTCGCATAGGGGGGCCGACATTACCAACTTCCACCTTTTGCCCAATGTCCAACTTCCAACTTCCAACTTCCAACTTCCCACCCACCAACTCCCACCCAACCCAACTACAACCAACTTCCAACTTCCAACTCCCAAGAGCCAACTTCCCACCCACCAACTCCCACCCAACCCAACTAAACCAACTTCCACCCAACTTCCAACTTCCAACTTCCAACTCCCAACACTCCCAACTTCCAACTTCCCACCCACCAACTCCCACCCAACCCAACTAAACCAACTTCCAACTTCCAACTTCCAACTTCCAACTTCCAACTTCCAACTTCCCACCCACTCCCACCCAACCCAACTAAACCAACTTTCACCCAACTTTCAACTTCCAACTTCCAACTTCCAACTTCCAACTTCCCACCCACCAACTCCCACCCAACCCAACTACAACCAACTTCCAACTTCCAACTCCCAAGAGCCAACTTCCCACCCACCAACTCCCACCCAACCCAACTAAACCAACTTCCACCCAACTTCCAGCTTCCAACTTCCAACTTCCAACTCCCAACACTCCCAACTTCCAACTTCCCACCCACCAACTCCCACCCAACCCAACTAAACCAACTTCCAACTTCCAACTTCCAACTTCCAACTTCCAACTTCCCACCCACTCCCACCCAACCCAACTAAACCAACTTTCACCCAACTTCCAACTTCCAACTTCCAACTTCCAACTTCCAACTTCCAACTTCCAACTTCCCACCCACTAACTTCCAACTTCCCACCCACTCCCACCCAACCCAACTTTCCACCCAACCCAACAAACTCCCAACTCGCCACTTCCCCCCAAGCTCCCAGTCCAAGTCGCCTGGAAGATGCCCAGGTAGAAGGAAATGATGGAGATCGCCACCGCGAAGCGGATCTCCGAGACATCCAGCTGGTTCCGCAGCACCTGCGAGGTGCTGTGGTTACTTTGGGCCCAAGGGGGGCCCACCGAAAACTTGGGAAATCTCTGGGCGGGGGGGGGGGGGGAAGAGGGGGGGGCGGGGGAAGAGGGGGGAGGGGGGGGGGCGAAGAGGGGGTGGGAACCATGAAGATCTGTTTGGAAGCTGCTTCTTTATTGTTGCCGGTTTGGGTGTTCTTCGCAACATGTCCAGACCACTAAAATGGGGGGAGGTACCCAACGAGGGAAGTGATCCCCAACTCCCACCACACGAAAACAAACAGAAAGGGGTATAAAGGGGTTGTTGAGCTGGGGGGTGCATGCCGAGTTTCGTAATCGTAATGCGCAGTGAGACACCACTACAGCAAGGGAAAAGACAACCATGTGAGACAAGGATTCAGGAATGATTCTAAACACCCCCAGCCAACTCTTTGACCATTTCCTCTTCTTACCCCTACTCACCAAGAGAAGCAAAGAAAAACACGGACACCGGCAGCCACCAGCAACAGAGGCTGTCCCCATGCTTTCTTCCCCCTTCAACATGACCCTGAACGCTCTCGCTTGAACTCTGCCTTTCTTAGAACCCCAAAGGGGGCCGAAGTCGATACACATGTCCAGGTCTGCACCCAGTTTCTCGGCCTGGTTATCTTCAAACAAAAGAAACGGAACACTCTCTCCATATCGGGTTTCATGTCGGTGGGTGGGAGGGCTGAAACCCGCGCTGCAAGGGACGCTCACACGAGAATGGCAGGTACGTTGGATAGAGTCAAAAGCCTCCCTGACTTCGTTCAGTGTTGCACTCACTGTGGCGCTTCCACAGTCAGGCAGCTAATTCCAGCCGAAGAATTGCCTTCCTACCCCATTTAAAGATTGCCTGGTGGGTCAGCGGGGGACGAGCGCTTCATTCCGAAATGCCAAAATGAAACGTGTTGGATGATGAGCTAAAAACGCAATTCTTGCGGAAACTCCTTTCGAAGAACCCCCTTGTTTGAATTCCATGTTCGTGGGCAAAGGAGCAACCGGAAACCAGAAAGACAGCACATCCCAACCCTTTTCAGCACCGCGCCCTCACCGGGCCCATGAAAGTGACGCCTTCAAACTTACCCGACTGGTGGCCTTAAAGGGAACCCCCCCCCCCAAAAAAAAAAAGCAAAAAAAGAAAAACACACACACAGACAGACACAGACACACGCACAGCCACAGACACAGACACAGACACAGACACAGACACAGACACAGACACAGACACGGACACAGACACAGACACAGACACAGACACAGACACAGACACAGACACAGACACAGACACACACACACACAGACACAGACACACACACAGACACAGACACAGACACAGACACAGACACAGACACAGACACAGACACAGACACAGACACACAGACACACACACACACACACAGACACAGACACAGACACAGACACAGACACAGACACAGACACACACACAGACACACACACACACACACACAGACACACACACACAGACACACACACACAGACACAGACACAGACACACACACAGACACACACACACAGACACACACACAGACACACACAGACACACACACACACACACACACAGACACACACACACACAGACACAGACACAGACACAGACACAGACACACACACACACACACACACACACACACACACACACACACACACACACACACACACACACACACACACACACACACACACACACACACACACACAAGCACACACACACACAAGCACACACACACACAAGCACACACACACACACACAAGCACACACACACACACACACAAGCACACACACACACACAAGCACACACACACACACAAGCGCACACACACACACAAGCACACACACACACACAAGCACACACACACACACAAGCACACACACACACAAGCACACACACACACACATCATGTCCAGAACCCCCGAGCATCTTCACTTCAGCCGGACCCAGCTCTTGTTTTTCTCCGAGGGCTTGCCATATCTTGACGGGTCAAATTGGGTCCAGGTCCGGAGTCCGGGGCCAAAATGCGTGCCTTCCAGCCGAGGGAGATCAGCAAAAACATCATCAGCTCCAAGATGTTCTGCACCTGATCTCGGATTGATAAATATGGCACCCCTGGTTCTGGGGCAACACCCCTATATGAATGAACAAGGTGTTGCTTTGGTGTTTTTGCTCACCCGGGTCAACAGAAGCTCCTGGATTTCTGGAAATCTGAGGCAAGACTGCAACCACCCTTTCAAGCACCAAAGTCATGCCAATGTTGACCAGCAGAACCCCTGTTTAAAGGGAGGAATACACCCCCCCATGTTAATAAACAGGGGTGATTTAATCTCGGGCCAACATGAATCCCAGGATGTACTGAGGGAAAGGTTCAACCACCTTTTCAAGAACAAACGATATGCCAACGGTGGAGTGGCTTTGTTGGGCATTTGGGGCGAACCACTCCGGGGAATCAGGAGAAGGCTGAGGGCAGCTTGAGATTTAATGACCCTCGAATGAAGCTGAACAAGATCCAGCATGCCAGCGCGCAGCTCGATCCCTGAAGACGGTTCCAGGCCGCTCTCTCCCCAAGAGACCCAACCTTTGAAACCTGGAGCAAGATGGCAAATCTCATCCATCTTGTGGTTGGGACTATCTCTTACTGACCTTCACGTACCCGGAGTTTGATCGTGGCGCAGGTGCTTTTGGGGTATGGGCCCGCAATGCATGCCTTGGTACTCCAAATGTATCTCCGCTTTGTTGCTGGACGAGGGGCAGGAGGTGGCACCGTCACAGGCTCCGAAGCTTGCTTGCAAGGCCCACTCACTGTCTGTTCCGGATGGAAAGGCTTAAAGGCTTAAAGGCTTAAAGGCGTAGGCCTTACCCCTAAGAAGCCAAGCCTCCACGTGCATAATCCCCTGGAAAACATATCATGATGCATGTCCAGTAGTGCTAGGTCCCCTTTAACGCCAACTAGGGAAAACGAAAAGAAGGCCTGAGCAAATGGAAGCCAAGCCAGCCAGAAGTCCCCAGAATTCCACCCCCACCCCCCCAAAAAAAAAAAAAAACGGCCGAGCAGGCCAAAATCCCCCCCTCCACAAAAATGGGTCAAAAGCCGGAAAAAAGTGAAAAAGAAGAAGAAAACAAAAACGCCCCAATTTGGCTTCAGAATCCCCCACACAAAAATGAGTGAAACACCGGGGGAGAGAAAAACAAACCAAAAAAAACGCCCGCCCCCGACTTTGGCTTCTTCGGCTTCTTCGGCTTCAAACGCCACGCGCCACGCGGGCCACACGCGCGCGCCAAACGCGCCCCGCTCGCGCCTTGGCCAGCAGAGCCCAGGAGATGGACACCAGCCCCGGCTCCGTGCCGGTGGCGGCCACCAGCCGCAGGTCCAGCCACCGGAGCCTTACGGGAACTCGGGAGCGGGAGGCGGCCCCCCAGGTTCGTTGGGTTTTCGTTTGGGTGAACCCCCCCCTTAAAAAAAGAAAAAGTGGGTGCTCCCTTTGTCCCGGTTCCTTTTTCTTTTGTTTTTGAGCCGGTTGAGTGACTTGAGGAGCGGGTGAACGAAAGCTAGCAGTTGTTGCATGAGATGGGTCGGTGACAGAGTGGATTCATAGGTAGCTTGTGTACAACGAGAGGCCCGGCAAGATTCGTAGGATGCGACACGCAAACGCACATGGTGGCGTGGCAAACCTTGAAAAATGAAAACAACGAGAGGCGTCAGAAGCTGTCTTAAAGCACCTCTGGGTTCTGCATGCTGCGTGTGCAAAGATTCTTGCGAGGTGGTTTACCGAGAAGACTGAGGTCTCAAATGAACAATCTGAATCGGTGGAACATGTAAAGGTTCGTAGCACCAAGTCCAAAACGGGCAAACCGAGACTGCTGAACACTGAGCCACTGCCTGGGGGGGGGGGGGATGGACCAGGGAGGAATCGAGCCTGAGACCCGGGAAAGGGGGGGGGAGGGGGGGGGGTCTAAATGATTGATGTTTTTCAATCTTTTCGGCTCAAATAATTGAAAAAATCAATCTTTCGGCATTTGAGCCCCTTACCTTGCTTACGCAAGGAGAAACTTCAGCTAGCTAAAGCTAGCTTTCGTGAAAAGGGAAAAGGAGAAGAGGGGAACAGAAAGGCCTTGCTGTGATACCAATTCGCGGCTCGTTTGCCTTTTTTGTTGTTGGTAATGTGGCTGGGCAAACCTTACCAGTTGGCAGCTGGTTAGCATTTCAGGCATCCCAGGAGCGAATTTGGTCCATCCACAGTTCCAATGAAGGCCATCCTTGTCACCCCGGAGCAATGATTCGGGTTTCGAAACGTGCAACCCAACGGCACACATACAGGCACACACATGAGATGCCTGGGGGCAAAAAACAAAAACTAAACCTATGGAACCTTGCGTAATCAAAAGGAAAAACTTAGCAAACCAAAAGTCAAAATGTCTGCTTTTAGGGCAAGTGAGATTATGGAGCATTCATCTTCACCATGTTGCCCCGGTATGCAGTTTGGGTGGGCAAGGATTCTCTGAGCTACGGGTGTGTGTCCTGTAAAGCAGCCCTTTGTCTGGAGATATGTCTACCCATTTTCGGGGTTCCATGTTCATTCACAGCAAATGAACATCGAACCAAAAAGTATTTGTTCTCCAAAGGGACCACGATAGGCTTTTGGACTCCGCAAGCCATCGCCAAACGGATACGGTATGTGTCAAAACAGGGGACCCCCCGCCAAACGAACAAACATGCAGTTGCCCCCTGTAAACCAGCCCAAACATTGAACCAGCCCCAGAAAGGGTACCCTCCCAGAGAACACAAAGCACACACACACACACTTGTAGTCGAAGCTGGCTACAGGGATACTAGCTGGGACAGTAGAAAGACAAAATCCAGCACGAGTAGGTGGCTGATCCCTTGCATTTTACCGGCCCCCCTAGTTTGCCACACAGGTGTGGCTCAAAATCAAACAGGAGGGGTTACGCAGGTTTTGGTCCATGTTTCCACTTACTAGGGTTGATTTTGGCACCGGTTTTTTTCGCCACAGCCACATGGCCATGGGTCACAATTCGGGCACCCCCAGTGAACTTTTCAATCCCCACTAAAAAATCCCGACTAAAATGGGTGGTGAATTCACCAATCCCAACCAAAATGGGATCCCAAAACGGTTTTGACCCACGGCCTCTCGGCTCCGGGGGCCCCGCATGAGCACCACACCCCGCAGGGCCAGCACCACCACCAGCAGCGCCTGCAGCGCACCTTTGCGCACCACCAGCGGGAGCAGCGCCAAAGTGCTGACCTAAACCGGCGGGTCGGATCGAAAGGGATCATGTCGCTGTGTGTGCGTGTGTCAGTTGTTGTTTGTTCTTCTTTTTGGTTTGTTTTGCTGTTTGTGGGTGTTTGTTGTGTTTTTGGGTGGGGGGTCTGTTTTTGTGTTTCTTTTGGGTACCCTTTTTTGCGGCGGGGGGGGGTGGGGAACAAAGGAGAACCACCGATTTTGAGGGTCCATTTTTAAACAAACACAGGTTTGTCTGAGACGAGGGGGCCCTCTTGCTCAAAACCAACCAACAAGGCGAGGCACGCCATGGCACGCCCAGCTGAATTTATGGCACAATTTCCTTGTGGCGCTAGGGGCATGACTAGACCAAAATGCGGGGGGAATTGTGAGACCTGCGTTCATCCAACTGCAGTCGACAGGCGCATGGCAGTGGACGGTTGGGTCCTTGTCAAGAGGACTGTGGTCTTCCAAAGTCCACTACGTTTCTCAAGGGCCTACATCATGGTGAGCTTCTTTTACCCCAAGGTGAGCCAAATGAGCCGTCCATGAAATAGGCAGCAGTTCGTTGGAAAGGGGGTAGATGTTGGAACAAGCACTGTCCAATGATACTTCTTCGACCTGTACGAAACAGACCCCAGAAAGGAAGCTTGATGGGGGGAATTGGTCATAAACGAAATGCCGCTAGGTGGGCGATGTCTGACCGGGAATAGGACTACAAATGGAATTCCTGGAGGATGTCCCATTCTTGGAGGATTTCCCAACCTCGAAAGAAACAAAGGCCATCAAATTAAACCCGCTTTTTTTCAATTTGCCTGCCCGCCTCCCCCGATTCCCACGATTTTTCGGGCGCTTTCCCAAACGCGCCGCTCATTCCATTTGCACCGCCGAGCGGCGATGAAGAGGATCCCGAGACACATCAGTGCTTTGGGGACATCCCGGTCCTGGAATCGCAACGCATCTAGGCCGCAAAAAGGACGGACCCGTGATGGACCCGTATATTCTATTGGGGTATGTCTGTTTGCAGGGGACCCCTCCAAGATGAAATTCAATTTTGGTATGTCCTGTTGGTTTGTTTTAAACCACCCCCACAAAAATATCTACTGAAAGAAGGCCCACGCATTTTGCAACCGCCTTCTTTGTCTGTTTTCTTTGCTTTGGGCGGGGAGAGCATGGCCCTACAGGGAGAAACACTTTAAAGAAAGTTGCCCCTGGTTGCTGTTTGGTTTGCCTACAGCCCCAGAAAGAAAAAGCACCCCAAAGTGGAACCTATTAGGCCCCTAGCCGTTGTGGCCTGTCAGCTGGTGGGATGGGGAATGATCTTTTGGCCCAGGCGATGCCCTGAGCCTCTTGAGCTAGCCAGGTATTTGCTTCCAGCCCGGAGTTACATGGATGCCCGTTGCGCCGGGTTTCAAGGGAAACCAGGGCTGAACACCAGCCTATTGAGGGCTGCAACAAAGACCGCCTGTCTGGGGTACCTCAGCATGTCAGGCTCACATGCAGCAGCACACGAAGCATCCCAATTCTTATAGCTCATCTCTTGTAGCACGTGACTACAGAGGGCAGACCAATCCACAGCTAATTAAGTGCGTCGACTGACATCGTGAGATGTTTGGCCCCCGACAAGCCTTGGGTAATCAGAGCCCTAAGAAAGAAATCCCTTTTGAACAGGGACCGCCAAATAGCAATGCGAGTATCAATCAGGCGTCGGCATTACTATATTGTTGACCTGGGCAGAGGACTATTGAGGCAGCTCAAGCAAACATGTCTCCAAGTGATCCGCTCTGATTCCAAAACAATTGGTGCCGATTCTAGGGGCAACTTCCCTATTCTTTGCGTGGATTCCTTTGCAACAAACAACGGCAAAGATAGAAGAATCGACCCTAGACATTAGATAGAGCCATGGGGCTGCCACACATGCAACTCAGCTGGATAAACACCAGGCGCACGGGCTCACACTTGCCTATTGCAATGGTCCAAAAGATCACAGCCCAACCTCAGCTCCAACTCCTCAGGCAACCAATCCCATTCGGACACATCGTTTCCGGCCGCAAAACGACACCCTCGGCTTCGGGGCATCGGCCTTTCTTCCCTCTCACCCGCCAATGACACGATTGGACGACCCAACCAACCAATCAACATCCATAACATCCGGCCCTGAATCACTGAACCCCATCTACCCCCCCCCCCCCCCCCACCCCAAAAAGGAAAATAAGAAGCAAGGAAACAAGCCCAGCTTGAGAACTCGCGTCCGCTTCCCCACAGCTCCTGAAGGCTTAGCTCCTGGCCCCCAGGGTTCACCAGGCTCAGGGATCCCTTCACCTCCACCGGCGACTTCAGCGCCGACACCAAAATCACCTCAAGCCGACGGCATCGCATGGACGCCGGGCTTCCAGAAACCGCCAGACGAGCACGAGCGCCAAAGGGAGGCCTTTTTCATGTTGATTGACGGCAGGGGAGTGCAAAGGCAAACCGTGGCAGCAGCATACCAACCTTCTGTGCGACGGCCTTTTGGCGGGGCCGAATCCCCAAGTGAGTCGAGTTTTGCGCCTTGACCCCAACCAACATGGAAGTCACACTCAAACAAGAAAGTAGTGTTCCAGGGAGACCCCAAGGATCAAGCCCCCGCCCAATAGACCTCATATCCAAGATGCCGTGTAGCGATTCCGACCACCTGTTTGCTCCTAGCAGCTGGTCGCTTGAGGCGAATGCATGGGCGAAAACCTGCCTTGCCAGGACCGAACAAATACCTGGACCTCGCCGAATGACCCTTTGACCCAACCAGCGCATGCTGTGCCCTTGGTCCACCCCTCATTGGGCTTGGTCACTGCTTGCTCTCCCAAATCTCTTTGTGGGGGACCCCTTTTGGGCGTCCATGTTGAGCGGCCGCACGCACCGCTCACGCAGGTGACGCGACAAGCCTTTCACACACCTCTCGAAGGGAAAACGGGCCGGAAGGCCAGACTCGCCCCTTCGAATCGGAATCGCGAGCCGCAGGAAACCGACAGCCCAAATGCGCAGCCCTCGCAACATATTTTTCCCCAAACTGCATCCACCTGATTCACAAGTGTCATAGAGCACCCCGGCTTTCTTGGCTGACTTTGAAGAGAAGCCGACCAAAGCAAGAGAAAGCAACAGGGGCATTTGCCAGGGACGTCCATGTGCCCAAACTGACTCAGACTACTGAATGTGCTGACCGAACCTGCGCCCATTTCTCCGTGCCACTTTCTGACTTTTTGTTCGTGACATCCAACCTCCAAATGCTGGGTTTTTTGTTTCCCGGCGTTTCCCCTTCTCTTTTTGTTGATCCGCCCCGAATGCAACCTCAAGAAGCTGACTGCTCGGCCCATGGCACAAAACTCGCGGGAGCGATCCTCGACCTGAAAGGTGCCCTGGAGCTTGTCGGTCAAAAGCCCCCGCCAGCAGCTCACCAGGTAGGCGTTCAAGGGCGACCGGGACTGGCCAAGGAGGGGGGGGGGGTATGAGGGCCAATGCTAGCACTCCGGTGCAAAAAAAGAAAACAAGTCTGGAAAAAAAGGATAAAAAAAAATGGAAAATGTGGAAACAATGTGGGAAAAAAGGAAAGGAACAAGAAAAGGGCAAGCGGATTCATGAATGCCTCTCCCTGAATGGCCAAAGGCTCGAACATAGTGGCTGGATAATCTGGAAGCAATTTCCACCCCAAAGGGTCATCGCTTCTGGCAAGGGAGGACAAAGTGGGGCCAACCAAAGCGGGCGCCCTTCTTCTTGGCATGGGGCGTTCAAGCCTCACCTTCCACTCATGCCAGTTGCCCATGGTCGCAGGTGTTGCCAACGCGCTTGCCACTTGGCCGCCAGCTTCTGGCCAACTTCTTTCCGACTGCTCTTATCGCCGGGTGTCTTCCCGTTACGCCGTTGCTTGCCCACTTTTGCCGTTTTCCCTGATGCCAAAACTCATGAAGGTGAACGGGAAGCCCTTCGAATCATTTGCCAACATTTGGTTGTCCCAAGGCCTGCAGATTGCAAAGGAGAGAATGTCATGCGGTTGCACACCATCATGTGTAAGCCATGTCAGTTTCAGGTGCTCCTTGTGGCCTGGTATCCACCTTGACCCCACGTTTGCACAACAAACAGACTACACGGACTCCAAACCTAAAAAGCTGAACATCCTAAAGAAGACGGCCCCTAGGTTTCCATCACACGAGCCGCCTCCCCATGAGACTTAGCTTTGGTTTGGCGCTGTAAAATTGGCCCTGTTGGTCCATCAGGATTCCGACGTTTGAACACCGCACCCCCCCCCCGGTCAACCCCCCTTTCCTCAGGCTGCTCGGGATCTGATTTCAAGGTCACCAGCTCCGTCTCGCGCCAGGCAAGCCACTGCCCGTGGGAGAGGATCATCACGTAGGTGTCGTTGGCCGGCTTTCCTCGGAAGCTCCATACCCCCTGCTCCAAAGTACCCGTGGCCAGGGTTCCGTTTTTGGACCAAGGTCGACTTAAACCCAAGGGGGTTCCCTTTGGGGAAATCACGCACTCCTGGGATTAAGTCGTCTTTGGGGTAGTCAAAAAACGGAACCCTGCCCGTCGCTTCTACGCCCGCCCTCCTAATATTGCCCAAGGGAAGGGGGGGTGCCTGGAAGAGGTAGCGCAACAAAAGTGGGAGGGGCCAAACCATCAACCCACTGAATGTCCCATCCCGCAAGGGCCACGCCTTCGAATCCGTGGCTCAAGAACTCAAAGGCCATCGTAAAACCACCATCTAGAGAGGAATCGAGCCTTTGGTTTCCATGTCAATTTTCAAGGCACAGAACTTCTTAAAACGAATCCACCACGGCTTTTCGCGCCGCCGATTCTGCTCTTTTGCTTCCTAGATGCTGTTCACCAGGTCCACGGTGATCGTGGCCCCGACATCTAGACCGTAATCCATCTCCTCGCGCTCACTTGGGCCCCACCCAAACCCCCCCTCCCCCCTGCCCCCCCCCAACCCAACCACCCCCAAAAAAACAACAGGAATAGCAGGCGAACGGATGCCGGACCCGGATGTCGACTCAGAATCAGGCTTACTAGAGCAGCGCCACTCACCCAACAAGCGATCCAGAGCCGAAAAGGGCACAGCCCCGAATCAATCAACCAGTGTGCTGTGGGAAACCCCACTGCATGCAAGTGTACCCCTTTCTCTGCCAGGCAAAAAAAAAACTGCCCCCCCATGCCAACGGCTCCAGGAAAAACACGAAGTGGTTCTCCATTTGGAAGTCCACCTCAGCGAGCGAGGTGGGCCCCACGAAGCACAAAAAGCACCGCGGATGGGGGAAAACCTGAGGCGGGCCCCTGGTGCCCGAAAAGGAACTCCTTGCATTGTCTGGTGGGTGCGGAATTCCCCAAAGCCGCCAGCAGCTTGCCCGAATTGGGGAGGGCGAATGGTCTCAGTCTCAAACGGCGATTCAGGCCCATGCGGTGGACCATCGGAAGGGATCATGAACACATGCAAATCATTCATGGAAGGGCGGCCACCCCAGTTCCCTCTTTTGACTGCAGGGTAGACTTAAAGCCAGGGCGGTTCCCTGTAAAGGGAATGGCCACACCGAATTCATGGTTGAGAATGTGTCCTATACAAACCTGCGTTCATTCACGTTGTGATCACCTGCCCATTCTGGGTAAAAACGAATTAGGGGAATGTCACCCCGATAGACAACAGCAGAAATGTGTGCCCACAACGAGCTTGGAGGGTGGTCGGGAACGGAAAGCCAGACCGACCGTGCAGCAAAAGCAAAGAGCACATTTGGCATCCGAATTCAAGCTTCTTGTTTTCACTAGGAGGGGGCAAAAGGACATGGAACGAACATGAACGAAGGGGAACGAGCATGAACGAAGGGGAAGAACATGACACAATGTCTGCATGCCGCATGATTACCTGCCTAGATTATTTAACATGTAGGGCTATATATACATATATACATTTACATACCTATATATATATATATATGCATTCTGGATATGAATCTATGCATATATGTACGTATAATGTATAGATATATATATATATATCTGTCTATATATATAGAGATATATATATATATATATATAAATCTGCATATATGTACAGACTAATGGGGAACCAGGGAATGCCCAAGTACGGAACCTTCAACATTCCCGCAAACCGCAACCCAACATGTGCGTGGCTGCTTGGCCGCAGCGAGGATACACCATCTGCTCCCAGGTTTAAGGCCACTGCGTACCTCCCAAACCCAATGCCCCCCCCTCCCCCACAAAGGTATGTGGTGAAGAAATTGAGTTGCCTTCCTGTTGTTTTAGGGTACATACAAGCTTCTCCCAAAACAAGAGAGGGGTGGCTTTAAAGTGCAACCAAAAAGAAACTAACCAAGTCTGTGGGATCGGCAACAACCCAACCCAACCCAACCCCCACGCACCCACCCACCCCAGCCGCCGCCACCCCAAAAAAAAAGCCCAGGTGGCATCCCCAAACCCCTTCCGAAACCCTCCGCAAAAAGTTGCCCCAAACCACCCTCCCAGAGCAAAACTGGGCGGAGACTCCAAAGCTTTTCGGCAGTTGGGAAAAAGAAGCTCCGGTGATATGCTGAAAGCTTTGATCCATATTTGTTTTTAAAAAAAACGAGAAAAAACTAGAACCACGGGTGGCCCGAAAGCACAATGAAAAGTGACCAAAGACAAGCAAAGCGAGCCGACATGCAGGGGTGCCAGTGGAGTGGTTGCTCAAGAGTTGGTGTTGCGTGCGCGCGCGTGCGTGCGTTGTGTGTGTGGGTGTGCGTGCGTGGCTGTATGTGTGTGTGTGTGTGCGCACGTGTGTGCACGTGTGTGCGTGCGTGGGCGTGTGGGTGTGTGTGGATGCGTGAGCCACTTTCGCGCTGCTGACTTTCTAACTTAAAGGCCGCGGATACCAAGCAGGATTCGAGCCCGGGGCCGGTCACTGCCAAGAGCAGGCGCGTAACCACGAGACAAACTCTCAAGTCCGCCTTCCGACTTGAAAAAGTAGCATTTTACTAGCATTTCTTGCGATCCACCACGCCAATCCTCGCAGATGGTGGCGCGGGCAAGTCAGAAATCGTACAAAGTCCTCAGTTTTTGCACATCCACCACGCCAATCCCCGCAGAGTGACGCGCGCACAGAAATCGTAAAAAGTCCTCAAATGTTGCACATCGACCACGCCAATCCCCACAGAGGGTCGCGCGCGCAAGTCAGAAATCGTAAAAAGTCCTCACTTTTTGCACATCGACCACGCCAATCCCCGCAGAGGGTCGCGCGCGCAAGTCAGAAATCGTAAAAAGTCCTCAGTGTTTGCACATCGACCACGCCAATCCCCGCAGAGGGTCGCGCGCGCAAGTCAGAAATCGTAAAAAGTCCTCAGTTTTTGCACATCGACCACGCCAATCCCCGCAGAGGGTCGCGCGCGCAAGTCAGAAATCGTAAAAAGTCCTCAGCTTTTGCACATCGACGCGCGCACCTCAGAAATCGTAAAAAGTCCTCAGATTTTGGACATCGACCACGCCAATCCCCGCAGGGGGTCGCGCGCGCACAGATCAGAAATCGTAAAAAGTCCACAGTTTTTGGACATCGACCACGCCAGTCCCCGCAGAGGGTGTCATTTTCGCAGGGTGGGTTCGGTCCCGCCGCGCCGCCTTAAGAGACTAACTAATTACTTTCGTGTCCAAATGTCTCGTGCAAGTTTGGCTGTGTGATATCTCGTGCAAGTTGTTCTCGTGCAAGTTGGCTCGTGTAAGTTGGCTGTGCAAGTTGGCTCGAGCAAGTTGGCTCGTGCAAGTTGGCTCGTGTAAGTTGGCTGTGCAAGTTGGCTCGTGTAAGTTGGCTCGTGTAAGTTTGGCTGTGCGATAAGGCTGGTGCAAGTTGGCTCGTGCCAGTTTAGCTGTGTGATAAGGCCGTCGATTTTACCGGAAGAACCCTTTGCAATGCTTTCGGGAAAAACATTTAAAAAATACCCCACCAGCCCACCAGAAAAGAAAGACCCAGGCCGCCCTTCGAAGTTCCCAAAGCCACGCCTCCTTGAGGATGGCCTCGCCATATCTGAGGCAGGCCAAGAGGAGGCACGCCTGGAGGCGGATTGGGGTTCCACCGGCCCGAGGGGAGTAGAGACGGGTCGAGTTGGGTCTGCCTTTTTTTTTGCTGGCACCTTGCTTCATGTGTGTTTTTGTCTTTTTCATTTGTGTTGTTCTTGCTTTTTTTGGGGGGGAGGGGGGTTTTGGGGAGGGACACCGAAGGGAAAACCACAACATGTGTGGGTCCCCTACTTTGCGAAACATAGCTTTCAGCCGACAACCATCATCCGTACAAGACCCCCTGTCCACTTCCCCGATTGTTGGAAAGAGGATTGGCAGTTGCCTATAAAAACTGCTGAAAAGGGAGCATCCCCAATTTGAAGGCACACCCTACTATTGCCAATACGTTCTCCTTCTCCGTAGGGAATCTGAGACCAAACCCGCGGCCGAACGAGTTCCCCGGACCCACCTGAAAGACCTGACGCATCTTTCGTCAGGCCATCGGTGGCTGCGAGTGCTCGCGTTTGCGCCGATCTGCTGGTGGCAGGGGGCTGGGTCATAGCTTTTGGACATAAACTTTGTCGGGCTTAGGGTTGAGGGTTTAGGCTGTAGGCTGTAGGGCTTAGGGCTTAACCTTCCGAGCTGGAACGTGCTGTCAGTCAGCTTGTGAGTTTGCATCCCACTGCAGGGGAAAGAAAAGTGTCCTGCTACAAAACTATACCAAGGGGGTGCGTTGGAGCCGGGCGGCTCTGACGGTTGCGATTGGTCTCATTTGCTCAGCGCTGAACGCTCACTATCGAGCCCGTGTTGCATGGATGGATGTTGCCTGGCCTGGGCCGACCAACAGGACTTTCAAAACCATCCCATGACATGTTAGGGGCCAATGCGTCTTCCATAAGTACGCCAAAAACATGTAAAAGTCCTCGCAGGATCTGAGCCCGAGCCGAAACGATGGCAAAGCGGGCAAAAAATGTTGCTCGGCTTCGGCAACGCCCACAACAACTAAACAACCGACGACCCAGAACTTTACAGCCTGCAACCCGGAACTTTTGTCATTCCTCAAGCTTTCAACTCAATTAGCGAGGGTCCAAATGTTTCACTTGACCAACTGTGGGGCCAATCCTTTCCGAGTTTGGAAAAGAAAGAGTGCCGCATGTGCGGCAAGGGCGAAGGTGCTCGTGCACAATGGCACATCATCATTGCACAAAACTGCCAGGTCCAGCTAAGTGCATCTTGCTTCCACCCGCAAACCCCATTGTCTTTTTAGACGAAAAAACAATAAAGAGACGAGGATCCCCAAGCAGACCAATAAAACGCCGGGGCGTCGGCCGACGAGGTCTCTTTTCGCCCTCGCAAGGAACCCCCGCAGAGCCGGCAGCAAACCCCATGGCTTTCCCAAGCCTCTGCGATTCGAAAGTGGCAAGCCCCTACCTCATATAGTGGGCGGGGCTTCAGGAGTCGGATAATAAAAACGCGTGAAATCCTCAAAAGGTGCCTTTCTTCGAACAATCTGGGAAACGAAGGCTACAAATCGTTGGGGCGAAGTTGGGGGCAGGTTTTTGTGGCCGCCTTCATGCGCAACCTTGCTTTACCCAGGCTCGATTCCCCGCAAATAAAAACCTGAAGGTCAAACTGGCTGTCCGCATGGATCGGCTTGGGTCCCGTTATCCAAAAAGAACCAAGCTCGGGACTCCAAGCTGCTTCAAGCTCTACTTTGTTTTTGCGCTAATCCGCACTTGCGCCGAATGGGCTTTCAGCCCTTAGCCCCAGAAACCTCCAACGAAACACCCCAACAACTCCCAGCCAAGTCTAAGAGGCTCTGCGCCTGTGGCTTCCTTTTGGCTGGCTCTCATACGTGTCCCGGTTGAAACGACGGCAAAAAAAAGGCAAGGCACGGCAACTCCCAAAAACGAGACCCAGGGCTACTAGAACCTGGCAGAGGCGCGGGGTTGCCACGAGCTTTCGTCAGAAAGCCCCCTGTGCAGTGCGTCGGATAGGCTCCAACGAATTCGCGGCGCGGAAATCGAAATCGACGGCGCGATGGGGAAGCTGGCCGGCCGGACGTTCAGTTTCTGTTGGTTTTCTCCAGGTGGGGGGAGCCCCAAAAATACAAAGTTCCAAAGTACCCACACACAAAACACACTTACTCAAATGGACCATCTCATGTTCCCCACTTCCGCCAGACCCCCAACCGGATCTCACTGAATTGTCCGCGGCCTCGCCCCAAGTCGGTCGGGTATTCCCAGTGGCAAAAGTCGAGTCTCGCGCGGCCGCCGGGCGAAACTTGTCGGCTCCTGGATTGCATGCCACGCTAGGGCAACGGGTGACTCATCAAACATCTAGGGAAAAAAAACAGAAAGCAAAAGACCTGTGCGACTCTTAACGGAGAACCCCAAAGGCGCCACCCCTTCCCCCCAAAACAAACTTGCTTGAAACATTTCTGGTGGACCCTTCTCTTTGGGCGCACGTCAAATGTTTTGAGTCGGAACGCGCAGGTTAAAAACGTCCTCGGGAGAGGTCCATGCCTTCCACGAATGAATCGCCTAGCCAACACCCCGAGTTCAGCAACGAAGATGCGGCGCCTGGCCAGAAATGTTGAATTGTCTGGGCTGTTCAAAATGGAGGGCTGGCCAATCTATAGGAAAGCCGCTGCAAAGGGGACCCTTGTGTAAGGATCAACGACCTTTGAACAGCCCTCCCATTTAGAAAGGAAAGAAGGGGTAACTTTCAGAAGGCCGGCGGCTTCATTCGGGCCTCTGTTTCTGTCCAAACCTTCCAAGGCCAAACTCAAAGCAAAAACCACCGTCCCATCGGTCTGAAGTTGATTCCGGCCCCCTTTGCCGCCCTCAAAGTCGCCTCAAAGTCGCCTCCGCACCGCCCAGGTCTTCTCAGACCTTCGCAGAGGGCATACGCGGAGGTGCTTTTCCTCATTTCCTGCGGGTAGCCTTGTGGGAGAGTCAGGGGAAACCAAAAAGGAAAACTGCACTTCTTCTTCTTTTTTTTGGGGGGGGGGCACATCTTGTGAGACAAAGCCACCTAGGCTTGCCATGGGCAACCTTCCAAAGTGACATCCGCAAAAGCGCCCTCCAAATGGTGGTGTGAAGGGTCCCCGGCCTCAAAATGTTCACTTCAAAGAACCCCATTCAACCCGCGACTCTTATGTGGAAGCGTCAGCCACCAGCCCCCCTCCACCGCCCCATGCAGCTTAAGGGCTTCCATCGGCTGCCCGGCGTCGTCTTCTGCGGCTGTGCCGGGGAGGGCGTCAAGGTGTCCATCGTGTCCTGCTCCTCGCTCAGGCGGGGTTTGGAGGGTTGGGAGGCGGGGTGGGGTAGTTAGGGAGAAGTTTGGGAGTTGAGGTCGAAGGGTTTGGGAGATGAGGGATCAAAACAGGAGAGTAAGGGACTTCTGATACCGAAGCAACAAAAACAAAGGAACACACAAGTGGCATCTTGGCGCGGCATCCAAAACTTGTCACCGGCATGTGTGGCCTTTTTCACGGCCAAGATTTCACAACCAGGGGCGAGCGCAGTTCGAAAAAAGGGCCTTGGAAGGACAGCAAGGCCCCGGCAGGTTGAAAAGGATGCCGGCTTGCTTCCCGCGGAATGCCATGCCATTGAATTCATGCAACAAGGGTAACAACCGCCGCGAGCACAGTCCGCTCCAAACGCAATTCAGCTATGACATGGGCGCTTGGCAACGCTCGAGTCCACAGATTCCGCAGCTGCTTGGTAGCTCGCGCAGAATGAAACGGGCCCCCCTCGTCACTCTACCTGCCCCAAAATGAGACCCTCACAACGGCCCTCTGTCTCAGGCCTCATTTGGAGGAACCCAGAAAAATGAAGGGTCTCCCTTTTCTCCAACCTCACATGGAACCATTTAAAGGAAAACGGAGCCTGACCCCGGTCCGACCCCAGACCCTGGTCCCAGCCTCGGAGAGCATGCTCGCCTCCAGGGACTTGGACATCTGCGCCACCACCTGGCGAGCGACCCCGCGGAGCCCGCGGAGCTCGGAGATCGGAGAGGCCAAGTGGCGCGGCTTCACCCGAAAGATGCGCGGGACGTAGCGGTTGTCCCAGGGGTTTGGTGGGAATTGCGTGTCCCCCCCCCCCAACTCCAACCCCAACCAATAGCAGACTACCAATGATCATACTGCGTCAAGCCACAACCTTTCCAGCTCTGCACCAATGTTGGAATCCATTCGAGTCGCCAAGTCGAAATTCCAGTGGGATATGTCAGAAATGCCTCCAGACTCTAGAAATCAGAAAGTTTAAGGGCAGTAAGCCGGGGAACCGCCAAGTAAAGGCTTTTTCCCCCTTCCGGTTGGGAAATGTATGCAGGGGCCATCCCGAATGCCTGAAAGTTCTGTTGGCGTGCAGCTTTCTGGAGCACACATCCGGTTCCTCTTATGTGGGCGTATAGGGGATGACTAAACCAAGAATGGGGGAATTGTGCTCCACTCTCCTGGTTGCAAGATCCGCAAATGAAAGCCTGACTGGCAATGATTCGAAGGCAACTTTCATGGTGGCGGGGAGAAAGCAACCGCGTTTGCCCAGGCATTCCCAGCGCTAGCGGCCCTCTCACTCCCACTGGATAAGACCAAAACGCTTGCCGCGGGGCTGCCAAAGAAAACATCTACCTCGTTGCCGTGGCCTATGTCCTCCATCTACCCCACGGGTCACCGTTGATTCCACCCACCCACCCCCCCCGCCCACGTCGCACACTTCAAGAGCTCCATGTTTGCTTCTTGGGTCGCAGGCTGCGGATTGTGGAAACAGCAGCTCTGGGCCCAAAGACCTGTAGGCCCGTGGCGTCTTGCGTCTTAGCTTCATGGCTACATCCCCACGGCAGCCGAACTGCGACGTGAAGCGCGCAAAGCAATGAGTCAAGTACTGACGCAGTAACCAAAGAAACCCCGAAATCAAGGGAACAGCTACAACAAAGGCGCGGAACGAACGCGTTCTTGGAGCGCAAGGGGCGTTAAAATGGTGGCTCCTTCAAAATTGATGGAGGCGCCGGAGCCGGGCCTTCCCCCAAATGAAACCGCCTGCACTGACGACTGCATGCAAGCGTTGACTGATTTCTGTGGGGGTTATTCGTTGCCCTTTGGTGAAAACAGAAGGCACGCTGGCAGTTTAGACGTGCTTTTTTGAGGAGGGCCTTTCATTGCCCTCAAGGGGGAAGGGGCAAGCGTCAAGCCGAATCAAGTTCTACGGTGGACGAGCAAAAATTTCACTTCGCGCCACTTGGGATGAACGAACCAAGACAACCCCGGCTGGTAAGCCACCTTCTGTCCATGCACGACATGGCCGTTTTTTCCAACACAAGTGCCTGAAAACAGGCCTTCGGCTTTCCAGCGGGGCCTTCCTTCAACCCAACCCGAGCGCCGGGCGCCGCTCAGCGGACTCTCACCGCTCGCTTGCGCTCTCAGCGCTTCAGCGCGAGGCCCAGCTGCCAGCGGCTCACCGGGAAGTTCAGCGCAAAGTCCCAACTCTTCAGCTCCTAGGCGAAGCGAGCCCCGGAGCCCAGCGAGCGCCCTAGCGGCCGAGAAGATGAGACGCCTTTCGCGGCAACTGTAGGCAGGTGCACATGGTGGTGAAACAAAAGGTGCGCCGCAAAAATGAGTCGGTCAGCTGCAAACACTGTGGTTTTTAATGCTCCGCCTGGCTCCCTGCTTGGAAAAAGTATGGGGTCCACCGCATAGTTGGCTCGTCCATGTTTGCAAGTACCTTCTTTGTTGGGTTTCCATGTGGCACAACCGCCTCTAAGTGCCCAGGCCCTCCCGCACGAAATTCGATTGGAGGTGTTCACAAGGGCAATCTATTTGGCAGACCCCGTCTTTCCAATCAAGTTAAACAGGGCACGCGGTCCTGTTTGGGCATCTCATAGTTGAGGTACCCTTGTTGGGTTGGTGCAACACTTGAACCAAGCCTCATTATGGCGCTATTTTTGACGGTCCCACTTGTGCTTAAGCCAGTTCAAGAAATTGTCAGCTGCCAATTTGGAGTGAGATTAAACCAAAATCGGAAGGGGCCCTTTCCAAAGCAACGGAACGGCTGAGTTGACTGACTAAAGGGATAAGGCTAACAGTGCGCAGATGCTTGAAGTCAAACAATTCAGAAACCGGCGGCGCGTAGCCCTTGGCGGCTGCAAAACTCGCCGGTCACCGATGCCCGTCCTTGACCCAGGGCTGCTGGCTGAGGTGGGTGACCGAGTCACGGTTGCAGTGGCAGAGCCTGGTGGGGTTGGTGGGTTGCTGGGTTGGTGGGTTGCTGGGTTGTTGGGTTGGTGGGTGGGTGGGTTGGTGGGTTAGTGGGTTGGTGGGTGTAGACCACTAGTTCTAAAGCGACCTCCTTGTGGGCTTCCGTTGCGAGGCCGTGTGATTGTTCAAACACATTTTGCCCAACCCCAGAAGTCATGCAAAGCCACAAGCCTCACAAAGCCACAAGCCTCACAAAGCATGCCCTTGCCCGTTGGCTGCGGCTTTGTTAAAAGCCTTGCCAGGCCAAAGTCGAATCTTCCACACCACGGCAGCACCAACCACCACCAACCTCTACCAACCACCACCAACCTCTACCAACCACCACCAACCTCTACCAACCACCACCAACCACCACCAACCACCACCAACCACCACCAACCACCACCAACCACCAACCACCCCAGAACCCCCCGGCCAGAAAGGGCTCGCCACGTGCTGCGCGGCCCGCGTCAGCTTGGACGTGCCCAGCGTGTGCTCGCAGAAGTAGACCCGGCCCCCAGGCTTCAGCAGCCGCTCCACGTGCCGAAAGACCTCCTGAGGAAAAAAACAAAAAAACAAACAAACAAACAAAAACGGCGCAGCGGGGTCATGCCAACTCGCCCTGTCCCCCGCCCAAAAAAGAATGCACGTTCGAATGTGTGCGTCATGAGGTCGCCAATCCAAAGGACAAAAGGCCGCCTTCAAGCTTCAATGGAACTATTGATCACGTCTCATGTCGATGTCATGCACTTTGGCTCTTTCCGGACGTGTCATTTTCCGGTGTTGACTTTTGGGGCCGGTCCGTCAAAACACTAGCTCAACACGCTACACGCGTAGAACCTTGGATTCGCCCATCGAGATGTGGCTGCATGCAAAGGCCGCCGCCGCGTCAGCGAAGCCACGGTTTGACATCAACCGTGGGCTGACAAACATTCCGGCGGCCTCTTGGTTGGGCACCTCGCAGAGGACGTTTCCGAAGACCACGCAGTCAAAGATTTGCTCCCCAGGGAGGTCCTGGATGAAACATGTGCGATAATTGATGCTTCAAACCAACTGATCCGCAGGCATGGCCCCACATGCTCGCAGTGCAACCACCTCCCCAGGGACACGGTTGCAGACTATTGCGGGGGGGGGGGGGCCACGTGCCACGCGGTGATTGCAAGACGTTCCACTAAATACATCTCCGGGGTGGTAGAAATCATGTCACATATCTTTCTGGATTCATATGTGAAAAAGCGAAACCAAGAGTAAACCCAAGGCTTTGCTGGGCCAGAGCTGACGAGCTGACTGTGGGCTTTGGGTCAACCCAGACCTTCCAGCAGCCATGGTCAAAGGTGAGCGTCCTCAAAAGGATACACCTTGAATTCCCCCCCACCCCCCCAAATTGGGACATCCCAAGGCACTTGAGTTCAAACCAAACCAAGGAGCCATGTAATCTCAAGCCCTCCCCCCCCCCCCGGTTTGGGGGGTCTGATGGTCTCGGCGCTTGCGCCGGTTCTCTCCTGGATGAAGCAGCTGGTCACTTCCACCTTCAGCTCTGGCGACTTCCGCAGAGCGGCGTCCACATTCTTCTGCAGCGCCGGCTGCAGCTTCTCGTTGGGCTCCTCGCGGGAGCCACAGCCAGGGCTTTCCGCGCGTCGAAACGGACGAAACGGGCGAACCCGGGGGGAGAAAGGGGGGGAGGGGGGCTTCCCCAATTCTGAGCTTGAGCCCCCCAGCCCAAAAAGGGCTCCTCAGTCGAAACTTCGAGAAACGTTGAAACGCAAAGTCATCTCAAAAGAGGTCTCACTTTGGGGTTGTCTTTGAAGGGAAACCAACCGCATTCCAAAAAGATGAAGGTTGCCCCGTCGATGGCAAAATCGATGGCTCTGCCTCGCCCTCGCCAAAGGACAGCAAGCGAGCGACACACGTGTTGCGCGCTTGCTCCCGCGACATCACATTTTGCACCGGCTCTCTGCGCAGCCTCTCTGAGACAAAGTTTCAACGCAATCCTTCCGGGAAATCCGCCACAGAACTTCTTTTGTGCCGTCTGGCCCTGCGATCGCTCTGCGCGATCTCTCCTGGGCAGTCTCGCTGAACAACTTCTGCAATCTCTCTGCGTGATCCATATGCGCAACCCCCCACTTGATTGCACAATCTTTCTGGTTCCAGTTTGCGGGGGTGTCCGGGTGGTCAGGCTGGCTTCCATGAATGGGCTAGCGAGTCCGGTCCCACCACCTGCATCTGTTCTTGCACAAACGTCTTCGTGCAATGCCTCTTGCGCGTGTTTTCTTGCTGCAGCTGTGCTTGTGCAAGTTCTCTCATGCAACTTCTTTGGCGCAAGTTCTCTCCGGAACTACTCCTGCAAGCTCTCTTGTGCAAGTTTTCTCTAGCGCAAGGTCTATCGCGCAAGTGTGCTCCAAGTTCTCCCGTGCCATTTCTCTGTCTTAAGTTGTCTCGTGCAAGTCTGAGCACGCGCGCGCAACTTCTCTTGCACACAAACTCTTGTGCAATTTATTGTGCAAATCCTCTTGCGCGATTTCTGTGTCAAAGTCATTGTGTCGTTTCTCTGGCGCAATTTATCTTGTGCAATTCATCCTGTGCAATTTCTGCCGGTGCAGTTTCTCTCGTGCAATTGATTCTGTGTTTCTCTCTGCAACTTATGTTGTGCATTTTTTCTTGCACAATTTCTCTCTGCAATTTCTCCTGAGCAACTTCTGGCGTCATTGACTCAAGGACCCTTCGCAATGCTTTCGAGAAAAAATAGTTCTGTCACCCAAAGGATTACGGAAGTGATCACGTCCCTGTCCCCACCAACTGATCCCTCCCCCGCCACCGCACCAGCATCACCGCTCGCGTCACGCCAGCACCGCCCTTCTCGCGTGAGGCGACGTAGTACTGCAGGTAGGGCCCGTCCCCGCAGCCCAGGTCCAACACCTGTTGAAAGGCGGGGGTTCAGGGTCTCGCCTGCAAAATGGCCGGCGGACCACCAGGGGAAAGGTGACCAAAAACCATTGCTTGGCTACGCCGGTGTATGCTTCATGCCTTTGGTGCAACTCAGCCGTTTCCAGGCTATGCTCCAGGGGAGGGATGTTGGTGTGTGAGTGTGTCTGTGTGTGTGGCTGTTGCTGTTTGTTCAGGTCCGAATCCTTCCAAAAGAGCGCAAAATTCAGACAAAGAAGAAAAAAAAAAGCATTCCCACCCCTCAACCCTAGAGGCCCCAAGTCACTCCAGGGTCCCGATCCGGCCTCTTGAATGCTTCTGTCCGGGCTAGGATTCTACAATGTAGACCCCTGATGAGAAGTCTTCCAGTCGTCAACCAAACTGTTCCCTAGAATCCTGGAAGGTAGAAATCCTCACTAGCCAGGTTGCAAAATGGGCCGGGTGATGAACATATCGAGCTGCTGACCAAGAAGGTTTCGATGGCTCACCGCTCGACTAAAACCCACCTCCCCCTTGATCCCCTTGAAGAGCTCTTGTCGCACCGGGAGGAAGTAGTGATCCACCTGGCGGATTTTTCGGGAGTCAGGGCATCGACCCATCTGTTTGAACCTCGCCTGGCAGTTACTCGATAGTTTGTACCAAATAAGGCCATCCATCCCATCCGCAACCTGAAAACAGTTCCGCACTGGAGAGAACAAGACGCATGACAGATTGAAGCACTTGCGCAACCATGCGCAACCCCCGCCAATTTGGCCACATGGCCCTTTCAGGAAGACCTGACTCCCCTGCCACCATGACAATTCTTGAGGAGGGGACGCCACGCTCAGATTTACACACATTGTCTATCGCAATCCTCCTGCCCTCCGGTATGTCCACGCCATCCGCCAAAAAAATCTAACGCAGGTGCCTATATCTCTTAGACCAACCCAGTCCAGCATGGCACCTGTCGAACCGGAACCCCACCTTCGACATGACCGCCGGGATGATAAACGACTCCGCCTTCTGCGACACAGCCTGCGCGCAGGCAGACTCCCAAAGCCACAGGGCCGGGACGGTGTGTAGGGAACAGTTTGGACTTTGAGCGTGGCTTGAGATAGATCCAACAAGACAGAAGCCGTGAAGCCGTCATTCACATCCTACCCCCTCAAGTCACGTGTCACCGGCTTGCCGGGGCCTTGTTCATGCGCAGCAGCTGCAGGCCGCCCAAGATGCCCAGGAACCAGGGTAGGTAGCCCTCCTGTCAATGGAGCAATGTGCCAGCCCACGCAACCTGATTGCCCTTCCATACTGTGGATGGACGAAAACCATTTCGCACCTAAGAAACCCTGGAGTGATGATTCCTGTGTAAATACCAACCAACAATGGTTTCAACCGTGGTTTCAAAGTGGTGCTTCCACAGTACAACAACTTCCCAGGCCCAAACCCGTTTTTCGGCTTGAAGAACTTTCCAGGACCTTCCGTCTTTGTTCAAAGTAACACCCAGCCAGGCCCGACATCACACACAAAACCTCCATTCACAGCAACAACCGAAAGCTTCCCTCAAAATGAAAACACACACACACACACACACTTCCTCACCCTTTCCGTGGTTCATGCTCCCCCCACCAAAAAAAAGAAACCCTTTTTCAAGCCCCTGCCATGCGTTAAAACAAATGATAATAATAATAATAATAAAAAGGCAACGTCGCCACGTCGGGTCCTTGTAGGCCTTCCGCACAAGCAGCACCATGCCCGCCAGAAAGCCCAGGCCTATGGCGCCCGAGTCTCAGCTTCTTGGGGCCTTTCTCCCCTGGCTCGCCGTGACCCGTTTGTTCCACTTTTTTGGGATACCTTCTGGCAAAAACTCGTTTCATCCCACTCTTTTCCACTGGTTGGGCGCGCTTCCCGTCTTCGCCGCCTTCTGGTGGCAATGAGCCGGGATAGATTTCACATGACGGAAGGCAATTCATTCCTTTTGCTTGGCGCGGTTGGCGAAGGAAGAAAGAAAGAAACGAACTAACGACCACATTGCGCATCCAACTAAATAGCTTGTGCCACAGCTTGGGAAAATAAGCAATTGCCCATTCCCGTTCGGTGTCCTTTTCGCACAAATTCAGTACTAAATATGCACCGGTTCTTTGGCACCCTGGTGGGCTTCAAAATTCAACAGCGCGAGGGTAAGCAGGCGACCGTTGGGCTCTTGGGGTGGAACTGCGCGGGGTGTCTCGGAGGAGGCCGGGCGTGAGCTGCCGAAAAGGGCCCTGCGCCAAACTTGCGGAAAGCCGATCGGGTGTCAGCGAAGTGTCTGGTCCGGTGAACTCGCCGAGATATGTTGGAGAGACCTAAAAGAGATCGCCCGAAAGATTGTGCAAAGACATGTCACCAAGAGATCGCCCATGAGATTGCGCAGAGAAATGTCACCAGGAGATCGCACAAGAGATGTGTAGTGTCACCAAGACATCGCCCATGAGATTGCGCAGAGAAATGTCACCAGGAGATCGCACAAGAGATGTGTAGTGTCACCAAGAGATCGCCCATGAGATTGCGCAGAGAAATGTCACCAGGAGATCGCACAAGAGATGTGTAGTGCCACCAAGAGATCGCCCATGAGATTGCGCAGAGAAATGTCACCAGGAGATCGCACAAGAGATGTGTAGTGTCACCAAGAGATCGCGCATGAGATTACGCAGAGAAATGTCACCAGGAGATCGCACAAGAGAAGTGTAGTGTCACCAAGGGACCGCCCGTGAGATTGCAAATGGTTGCATGTGACATTGCACCACGAGATATCAAGGAGCGATGTCAAGCCCTTCAGTTCCCTCCCAGTTGCCACAAACTGCTTGGGGGCCTCCAGAAACTTTGGATGCGCTGTCGAATTTCACCAGTGCTGTTTTACAAGTCAGCACCGGAAAGCAACCCCGGAAAGCAGGCGGATGCTACCCACAAGGCTCAGCAGCCGACGTAGGCTCTAGCTTCTGCATACACCTGTTTTTCTTACCAGACTTTTGCCACGCCTCAGGTTGTTGAGTCACCCATCCTAAATGAGGGGGATCGTAAAATCGGTGGTTCCTTAAGATGCCCCCCCCCCCCCCACCCCCGCCCTCTGCCCCCTCACAAAAAAATGAGAACATAAACACACATGTGTTGCTCGTGTACCCTCTTTTTGGTTCCCCTTTCAAACGGGTGTCAGGGTTCGGTTGTTTGAACAGCTTAAACAAGGTAATTGAAACCAGTGGGTTGCCTCAGAAATATGGGCCAGCCCACACCCAAACAACAAGTGTCCATCTGGCTTCCTTCTAGCTGTCCGTTTGGTCTCTTTGCTCCTTGCCACCACCCACCAACAAAAAAGAAAAAAAAAGGAAGAGACACGTGACCTGCCGGCCCCCCTTGTCTTGTCCGGGCGCCCATGAGGTCCATCTTCAGCCCCAGCCGGCCCTGCACCTTGCTCTTGCAGATGCGGAACTCCTCGCCGTCCATCACCACGCTATCGCTATCCATGGCGCCGAGCCGGAGGCGAGGCCAAAACTAGTCCGAAAGCAGCCGGGGCCTTTGGCACGTCCCCCTTCAAAGCTCTTAACATCTCTTAACCCCAGGGTAACTCATGTGGAAGCAACCCAGCTGGATGGTTTAAGCCGCCCAAATCGAGTAAGGACGCCTGAAGCGAATGCGTCAAGACCGGGCGCTCTCTTGCAGCTGAAACAGCTGCCGGCACCGATCCGCTCGAAAAGGCTTGGGTTGGCGCTCAATCAGCCTGTTGTCAGTCAGAGGTTGAGTGCCAAGTCGCAAGCGGAAGTGGAGTCAACGCGGGCAGGGGATGTCGAGTCGACGTGCTCTCAGCTTCAATTCTCTTGCCATCCTGACTTCGTCCGACTGAACTTTGCCTACAACTTGATTCTACAGTAAGTGTTCCTATAACCGGGCCTTCGCACTTTCTGATTTCCTCGCCACTGCAGGATTGGGAGGGACAACCATCGGACAACTTGTGCCAAGGGTCAGGCTGGAAATATCTCAAGAGCCCACTCCACTGTTGCTTGGAAGCATCCACAAGTGTTGAAAACAACGACATGTTCTTTGGAGACGTCCAAAAAACACCAAACAGGAGCGTCCTGGTCCTGAAACCTGGGCGTTCCATGGCCCGGGAAGCCAGATTCCGCACATGGAGCCACCGTTCCGATGCGATGGTCCATTTGCTTCAGCCCCCTGGGGAAAAACTGACTGATATATCCAAGAGTGATAGATTCCAACTTTAAAACCAGGGGAAAATGAGAAAACCTTCCTTTCAGCAAATGGACGTCTAGTATCCTATTGCAACCATAGGTGGCCTGTTGGAAAACATCGATTGCCCTGGTAAATGGAATAAACCCCAGCTGAACCAGTGCCATCTGTTTTTAACCAAACTAGACTAAAAAGGACACCTATGATTGCAACCCCCGCCCGGCCATCGGCCATCCAAGCGCCGACCGTCCCAACCACCCCCAGCCTCCACCAGCGCCTGGTGCCGCTCGCGCCGGTGCAGGGCCTCGTCGGTCAAGGTCTGCTGCAGGCCCGCCATCCTGCGGAGTGGAGTGGGGTGTGCCACTGGGTTGCTGCAACGACCCCTCTGCTAAAAGTGTTTAACTTTTTGTGGGTTTGGTGAAAACGGAAACCACCTTGGTTTCCCAAAAGTTGAAGTCTAAAGATCCAACCCAACAGCAGCCAAGGTAGGTGTCTCTGTTGTCTTTCTGGGTGGTTTTAATGGGAAAGCCAGTGGCAAGCTCTAAGCCTTTTGGTATGTGGGGGTGTCCTTTTTCTGGGGGTATGTGGGGGCATGTATTTTTTTCAGGGTACACCTTTTTTGTTGGTTGGTTTTGGAGGGAAACCAAAAAAGGCGAAACAACATTTGTTAGGCCCCCAAAAAAAGACACGCCCAGGAGTCAAAATACGTCCCCTTACGGCCACCTTCATGTGGTTGGTGCCCTTTGGCGGGATTCGGACTGGAAACTGGCGCTAGGCATGATACGGGTCCAATTTTGAGAAAAATTGGCCTATCATTCGAACGGGGGTTGCTCACAAAACTTGAAAGCCATCGTCGTGCTTTTTCCCTCCTACAGGTTTTTCCCATGGGTGTCGGTGTCCAACCATCTTTGGGATCCCTCCAGCGAAAAGGGCTACGAAGAAGCAAGCATGGGGAGTGGTCTCCAACCAGTGTTGAGGGCCCCCGGTAAAATTCATGGTCATGTGGGTTTTGTGATTTCAAGCAGACCTGGAAGTACTCCGCGGGGCAAAGTTCGTTTAAATTGGTTCAACCAAGTAACACCGCAGAAGAGAAACCCAAAAGATCCTGTTTTGGACCTTTAATGGGTGGCTCCTTTTCGCGGAATCCTCTTTTTGTTGGCTTTGAAGGGAAACGAAATGAGATATTTGTCATTTCGCCAGGGATGCGCTTTCGTACAGTTTCCTCTTAACGAAGTCGCGGTCCATGTTCAATAGGCGTTTAAGCACTCTTAGGCCCGACTGTTCAGGCGTGCACAGAAGCGACGGCTTCCAGGTCGTAATGTAAAAAGATGCGAACCCCCATCTAACCAATGAGAAATCTTGGAAACCCGACATGGAACAAGTGATTCATGTCTATGAACCTGCCCTTGTTTAGTCGAAGGCCCCCCTCAGTGGTGCCAAACCTCGTCATGCGATCCCCATGCTTTGGTGCTGCCCTCCCACCCACTAACAACCCAACCCTTGTGGAGGACCGCCCCTGGGTCCATGTTAGTGGGCGTGAAATCGCCGTCCATGCCCTGCCCGTCTCCCCCAAAAACTCCTCAGAGACAGCTGCCGCGACACGCGCTCCCGCAACTCAGCGTGGCCTGGTGGAATTGCAACGGGGGCTTGGAGTTCGCTGACTCGGGTTGTGAGAAGCACTGACAAATACAAGCCAGGTTTCTAAAAACATAGGGAAACCGCAAACAAAGGCGACATGCTCCTTTGCTTTTCTTAAAGCACGAAAGGGTACTTTCAAACAATACATGCCCAAATGTTGATTCAGTTTGTTGCGGTACTTACTTCCGTTGGGGCGCGTGCCCGTTTGGGCGGCCAGAGCCTCAAAAGGACCACGCTCAAAGCCCCCCCCCTTTCCCCGGGGGAAAACACCAACCCCGCCCTAGTGACTAGAACGACTGTGCAAAGACAAGCAAAACACGCTTTCTGCAACAACCCCCCCCCATTCGCGATTGCGGATAACAACCCTTCTGTGATACCAACATGGTGGGACTACTTCATCACAGTTTCAGGCGGTTCCGCTGGTAATTATCACAGAAAGTGGGGCTCGAATCCTAAAGCCCGATTTGCCACAACCCACTTGCCAGGTTGTCCAAGGCGGGAACTAAAGCAAGCAAGCAAGCAAGGCAAGGCAAGGCAAGGCAAGGCAAGGCAAGGCAAGGCAAGGCAAGGCAAGGCAAGGCAAGGCAAAGCAAAGCAAAGCAAAGCCAAGCAAGCGAAGCAAGCAAAGCAAGCAAAGCAAGCAAAGCAAGCAAAGCAAGCAAGCAAGCAAGCAAGCAAGCAAGCAAGCAAGCAAGCAAGCAAGCAAGCAGGCAAGGCAAGGCAAGGCAAGGCAAGGCAAGGCAAGGCAAGGCAAGGCAAGGCAAGCAAGCAAGCAAGCAGGCAAGGCAAGGCAAGGCAAGGCAAGGCAAGGCAAGGCAAGGCAAGGCAAGCAAGCAAGCAAGGCAAGGCAAGGCAAGGCAAGGCAAGGCAAGCAAAGCAAGCAAAGCAAGCAAGCAAGCAAGCAAGCAAGCAAGCAAGCAAGCAAGCAAGCAAGCAAGCAAGCAAGCAAGCAAGCAAGCAAGCAAGCAAGCAAAGCAAGGCAGGCAAGGCAAGGCAAGGCAAGGCAAGGCAAGCAAAGCAAGCAAGCAAGCAAGCAAGCAAGGCAAGGCAAGGCAAGGCAAGCAAGGCAAGGCAAGGCAAGGCAAGCAAAGCAAGCAAAGCAAGCAAAGCAAGCAAGCAAGCAAGCAAGCAAGCAAGCAAGCAAGCAAGCAAGCAAAGCAAAGCAAGGCAAGCAAAGACAAGCAAAAGCAAACAAGCAAGCAAGCAAGCATGCAAGCAAGCAAGCAAGCAAGCAAGCAAGCAAGCAAGCAAGCAAGCAAGCAAGCAAGCAAGCAAGCAAGCATGCAAGCAAGCAAGCAAGCAAGCAAGCATGCAAGCAAGCAAGCAAGCAAGCAAGCAAGCAAGCAAGCAAGCAAGCAAGCAAGCAAGCAAGCAAGCAAGCAAGCAAAGCAAGCAAAGCAAGCAAGCAAAGCAAGCAAGCAAGCAAGCAAGCAAGCAAGCAAGCAAGCAAGCAAGCAAGCAAGCAAGCAAGCAAGAGCAAGCAAAAGCAAGCAAAAGCAAGCACAAGCAAGCAAAAGCAAGCGCAAGCAAGCACAAGCAAAAGCAAGCAAGCAAGCAAGCAAGCAAGCAAGCAAGCAAGCAAGCAAGCAAGCAGGCAAGGCAAGGCAAGGCAAGGCAAGGCAAGGCAAGGCAAGCAAGGCAAGGCAAGGCAAGGCAAGGCAAGGCAAGGCAAGGCAAGGCAAGGCAAGGCAAGCAAGCAAGCAAGGCAAGGCAAGGCAAGGCAAGGCAAGGCAAGGCAAGCAAAGCAAGCAAAGCAAGCAAGCAAGCAAGCAAGCAAGCAAGCAAGCAAGCAAGCAAGCAAGCAAGCAAGCAAGCAAGCAAGCAAGCAAGGCAAGCAAGCAAGCAGGCAAGGCAGGGCAAGGCAAGGCAAGGCAAGGCAAGGCAAGCAAAGCAAGCAAGCAAGCAAGCAAGCAAGGCAAGGCAAGGCAAGGCAAGCAAGGCAAGGCAAGGCAAGGCAAGCAAAGCAAGCAAAGCAAGCAAAGCAAGCAAGCAAGCAAGCAAGCAAGCAAGCAAGCAAGCAAGCAGACCCAGGACCCTCAGACTCCCTGAGACCATGGCCCTACCACCCCAAGTTGCCACGCCTCCCACCGCCTGGGCGCACTCCTGCCGCAGCTCCTGGGCTCAAGGGGGGGGCATCTACCCTTCTCCCAACCTCAGACCTGGTGACCAAAAATGGACCTGGCTTTCTTTAGTTGCTTCAGCAGACTTGTCTATTTGACCCGGTTTTCCCAACCAGCTCTTTTTCGCTGTTTGGTGAGGTCCGACAACCTGTTGTTCCGCACCCCATCTTTCCTTTCCTAATCTGGAATCGCCCCACTGCAGGTCAATGAAATTTCCCCTCAGAGCACGCCGGCCCGAGCCCACCCAGCCGGCCAACGCGTCCTCCGCCATCTCAAATTCCAAGCGTTTGCCCCCTGGCACTCCGAAACTCAACACTTGGACCCCCTCCCATTTTGTATCTGCTGTTGACCCCCCTGCAAAAAGTTGAGAACTTTTGGGGGTTTAGTGGAAAACACAACTTGATTTCAACCAAAAAGTTAAAGTCTTCAAGATCCAACCCGATAGCAGCCAAGGAAGGTAAGGGTGTCTCTTTTGAGGGTACCTCTTTCTGGGTGGTAATGGGAAATCAGGGGTTTTTATCGGGGGAAAACAAACAAACAAAAAACGGGGGGGGGGGGGGAAAAACGACCGCCGCCCCCGTCTCCTCCACGCGCTGCTCCAGGCGCCGCTGGGTCTTCTCCAGCGCCTGGCGCCGGGAGAGGCGCAGCGCCTCCACCTCCCCGCGGGCCTCGCTTCGCGGCGGGCGCCAGGGCGAGCCGGGGCGGGGCGGGGCTGGTGTTTGAGGGGCCAGGGGCAAAGAAAACCGAAGGAACGAACCAAGAAACACAAAAACGAAACGAAAACGCAATGAAAATACAGAAAACCGCGAACAGAACAAGCAAAACACAAACAAATAGGCCAAGCCCGCTGCTTCAACAAGCAAAGGCTTGTGCAGGATGTGTATTGTTGTTTGACGGGAGCCACCTGCAGGTCTCTGAAACGTGCGCAAAATTCCTGGTTGAATTGGAAAACGCAAAGTTTGAAGAATTGCAAGCTAGTCCAGCAGCAACCCCCCATCCGTCACAACGTGCAGCATGGCCTGACGGAAGGCAAAAGGCATTGAAGTTCTCGGGCCCTCAGAATAATGGTGATGACACGACACATACAAAGTTCAAACCTCGGCCGGCTCAACAGGTAACTGTGAGAACCAGTACCAGGCAAACACCTTCAACAGGTTGCTTCTTCCAACACTGTTTCGTTTCTCTGCTGATTCGTTACATCCAAACGAGGACTGGTTGACCAGCATTTAATTTGGCAAAGTAGACGTAAGCACTTCCTAATTCCCAGGCCCTCCAAACATACCCCTGCAAAAAAAAGCTTAACTTGATTGACAATGGCCTGTGGGAGGCTTGAGTTGTCAGTCCTCATGTGGTTCCAACAATCCTACATGCCCCTTTTAATTCGTGAATGCCGAACTTATGTTAGCTCGATGACGTTTTGACGGGGCCAAATGGAAGCAACGAACCCCCTCTCCCCCCCGTAAGAAAAAGTCCGCCTCTTCGAGCATCACAGCCCCGGAAACGACGTCCGGCATCCTCCCCTGGCGCGGGAGGCTCGCAGGGCGGCCACCTACGATACCAATAAAGCCGGGCGCGTTACATACAATGATGACTTTGCACAGTTTGCTTGCGAATGCGGGCTTGGGTTTGTAAAGTGTAAATACGAGACTGAATTTTCGCCAGCTGCCTGCGCCCTAAATGGGCCGCCACAGGCTTGCAACCCTGACGCACTGACTGACTGGCTGACTGGCTGACACGATCAAGAAAAACATATGTTGATGATTTTTTGAGAAAAACATGCACTGGGATGAAGAAGAACCTCTTTTGGGGATCTGGTCCAGGATGCCAAAACGCTGTAATCTACGTCATGTTCACGCAGTTTCGCGGCTCCAAATCCAAAATACAGTACAAACGCAGCACATGCAAGCATCGCCCAGGTGCCCATCTCCAAAGAGCTATTGGTTCAGTGATAGGATGGTTTTGGGTCGGCTTTAAGTGTTAGGGTTGGCGGTTGGCTTGGGCGGGTTTAGTGTTCATTGAAGGCGGGCTTTGGGCCAGCTTTGGGGGGTGGGAGGCTTACAGGGTTCGCTTAGGGTTGGTTGTGGCTGGCTTTGTGAGGTATAGGCTGGGTTTTAAGGCTGGCTTGGAGCTGGTCAAGGGTTGGTCTCAAGGTTTTTCTTAGTTTGCGCAGGGTCAGTGTTGTTCATTGTGGGTTCGCAAGCCCATATAGACTGTTTGTTACGTGGCCATGTGACAATAACATGTGTGGAAAAACGCCAAGCATGATGAGAAGCTGCAGGGGCCGTACATCAGTGCAACAGCGGCGTGGGCAACAAAGACGTTGACTGTGTGTGTGTGTGTGTGCACAGGCAACGCTAACGGCGGATATGGTGACGACAAGTTCTGGCACCACTTCACACACACACACACATCTGGGCAGGCATTGGCACACGCAGCGCGTCGGTCTGGCCAGCCTGGCCCTGAACCAACAAGACTTTCCAGGACGTAGGAGGGTTGGGAGATGCACTCGATCATCCTGAACGTCGTGTTTCTGGACTGGCGGCGGGTGCGGAATTGCCAGACGCCTGCCCAACCCCTCGAGCCTTCATAGCCGCAGCAATGCGTGGGTCCAGCGGCGCCGCTGTACGGGCTTGCCGCGGGCCCCAGTCGTGTGAGAAGACGGGCGCCCGAATCTCCCGACACAAGCGGCAAGCCTGCTTTCAACTTCTGCGCCATTGAGCGTCAATAGCAGAGGAGCGACGAGGCGCGGCCCGCTCAAAGTAAAACCACCCAACTGCCCGAAGCGTTAGGGCCCGCATCTGCGGCATTCGGCCACGTCCGACCATCCCAGCCAGCGCAATGGCCACATTGGGGCATCTGCCAGCCAGCCGCTGCGTCTGCAGGATCTGCTGCGCTTTCTAACCTCAGGAAGCCCGCAAACCTCTTCGGCCAAATCTATTTGACATGAACAATTGAGCCTGCCAACTCCAAGACAATGGCGAACTCGGCTTCGGCCAGTGTGACGTCAGGCGGCAGTGGCGCCTTGCCCTTTGCCTTGGCCGTCACAGCGCCGCGACTCAGCTTCTGCCCGGCCTTATCCTTCTTGGCGGGGGAAAAGAAGCGCTGGTGCGCCAAGGAGTGCACACCCGCCGTTCTCACACGCTCAACGCGCGCAAGGCGACTTGCGGACGCCACCCGACCAAGGCCGCGGCAAATCGCGGCCATGCCCTCCGCAATTTCCGCTAGATACATGAAGCAAACCCAGAAGGAGCCCCGTGGCACAGTCACCGCCAGGCAACGGGGCGGAGAAGCATGCGCAACTCTGGACTGTCCACGCTTTAGAGCTTAGTGTGGATTTAGGTCAGCTTTGTTAGGGTTGAGTTTAAGGTGGGTGCGGGCTAGGCTTAAGGTGGGTTGGGGCTGGTAAAAGGTATGGGTTTGGAATTGGTTTAGAATTGGTTTAGACTTGCTTTTGGCTCGGTTTAGGCTTGGTTTAGGCTTGGTTTAGGGTGTGTTTAGGCATGTTTAGGCAGGTGTAGGGTTGGTTTAAGGTTGGCTCAGGGCCGGCTTAGGGTAGGCTTAAGGTTGGTTCAGGGTTGGTTTTGGCTGGGTTTAGGGTTGGTTTAGGGTTGGCTTAGGGTTTGTTTGAGGTTGGCTTCAGGTAGGCTCGATTTGGGGTGAGTTTGGGGGTGGGTTTAGGGGTGGGTTTTTAGGGGTGGGTTTAGGGGTGGGTTTTTCGGGGTGGGTTTAGGGGTGGGTTTAGGGGTGGGTTTCGGGGTGGGTTTAAGGTTTTTCCCAGATCCGGGGAATGACAAATGCACGAAAGAAAGTGGAAATGTGAAGCAAAAAAGGCTGGGCAAATTGTAAATGCCAAGAAAAGGCTCAATGTCAAAAAAGGATGTGATATCTTGACATTTGCAATGACACAATTCGCTAACACCAAAACGAAGGACTTCATACAGAAAAGAAAGCCCTTAATGTGGAAAAAACGAGGCCGGGACCAGGAAACGCTGCTTTGATTGCTAAAACAACTCATTTGGAGGCCAACAAGTTTTCTCGCACGCCTGCCAAATCACAAGCACATCCACTCAAGCGCGCTCACTCCGAAGCAAAGAATGCAGCGAAGACGTTGAAGCGACCGGAAGACCAGGAGACAGGGAGACCAGCAGACCAAGAGAGGAGACGAACCACGAAATGTTTGATCCCGCAACAAAGGAAGACCCACTTTACGACCATAGTCAGGGTCAAGGGCTTGAGAAGCCTCCTTTGGGCAAAGGCCAAACAATCCGCGCTTCAATACTTGGTGGCAAGACGATCAACATGTCCAACCAACAAAGCACTCGGGAAATGCCGGTGCTTGCGCTCGGCTCGAGGATCGTCCCTTGTATCTTTGTGGGGTAAAGTTAGTAATGTTGACCCGGATGAATGGCATTTCTGATGAACCACCAGAGGGACACCCCCTACTAATCAACCGGGGCTCTATTCATCCGGGGTTCCCATCATCCTGCATGTTAGTGACCCTTGTTGTGCCAGAGGTCGCCTCCTGCCAAAAAAAACGAAGCAGCGCACAGAGCAGCACACCCGCGCATGCCTCGATCTCCCGCAGCTCCCGCGCGATCTCATCCACTAGCTCCTGGGAAGCGCAGGGCGTCTGCTCCTTGAGGGGAGGAAAGCGTCGGACTTGTTGCGGTCTCCACGGCACGCTTTGTGTGGGCAGTACCGCTCGAGAGGAGGAAGAGAAAACCAGAAAAATCGGCCCCCGCCTGGCCGGCGGTGTGCCAGGTGCTCAGCGGCCGCCGCCCCAGGTCCTGGAGCCTCCGCTGCCAGGACTCCTGGCGCAGGGCAGAAAGGGGGAGGGGGCTAAGAATAGAAGCGCCCGAAAAAGGGGCGGCATGTTGTTGTTTCATTCTTTTTCCGGGGGCAGGTAGGCCGTGGAAGAAGCGCCTTGCCGCCTTGCTTTGCTTTTCGCCAAATCCGCCCCAACCGAGGGTGCCATGGAGACGAGCGGCCAAGCTGTTTCTTCCGGTCCATGCCCCAAATGATTAACTGGGAGTCAAGCTCTTCAGGGGCCAACTGACCCATATCGGGGGGCCCAACGGTCAGCCAGCCGGAAATCGCCCAAGTAGGAAAGCGTGCCCGCCTACTCCCTACATTCCCCAAGACTCGTAAGGGTGAAAACTTGGTGGGTGCTTGTTGCTTGTTTCCATTGGTGATCTGCAGTTGAGTATTTGATTCGCTGGCTCAAAGTGTTGCCTGGCCGCTATACCATCTGGCCTGTGTGAAAACCATGGACCCTGCGGTTTTTTTTTTTTTGGGGGGGGGGCGTTTCAAACGGAAGCAACATGGTTTTTATGCACACCATCTGCAGGGGTAACGGTTGCAGCTGCCCAGTGTTGCCACCAACCAGGGGCGCCGAAATAGGTTGAATGGGCTGATGGCAATCCGCAGCACCTTGGCCTTATCATTTGTACCCGTCCACCCAGCCAATCGTTTTGTACTACACTGCCTGACAGCCGGGCAGTAGATACTTTGAGAACTTGAGGATGGCACTGCTTCCGAGAGGGTCACTGCTGCCTTTTGCAATGGCTGGAAAATGGATTGCGAATTCTCATCAGAAACGGCACCGTCACCCCAATCCCCCCCCGCCCACCCCCCGTATAAAACCCAGCAAAGCCTCTTTGAGGGCAGCTTTCGGGAGGAGCAAAGAACCCCATCAAGGGTAGCAGATTTCGCTGCAAACGTGCATGTTCTCCAAATGTGAATTTAAGAGAATCATAATTCTCTACAAATGTGCGTTGGAGTGAGTTCCTCAACAGATTTGCTCGGTGAAAGGCTCTGCGAACTTTTCAGCAGGTTCCTCTACAAACATGTATTCTAGGGCAACAACAGCAGCCTTTTTGCCTCCCCCCTCACTCTTTTCCACGCACCTGCCATGGCGTCACCTGGTCAGTGTCGCTCTCCGTTCCGAGGGCCTGCCAGCCGACCCCCGGCGACTTTGAGACGTGAAGCCTCCATGCCCCCGACAAAAAACTCCAGGAACTTGTGCCTAGTACTTGAAGAACCACAAATCGCTTCTCGCGCGTGTATGTTCAAAGGAGTGGCTGAGTGTGTTTGGTGCAGGAAATTACAGGAAGCCGCCAGAGTGATGCGCAAGCCAATTTGGGCAAACGTTCAAAGGCTCAACCCCTGGGAAAGAAAATGAACGGCCAAACAGCACATGTCGACCTGTGGATAAACCTTACAGATTTCTAGGTGTTTCCCCCCGTGATCCGGATCCTTCTAAAATGGGACACCACAATAGCGTCCCTGGCCCTGGACTGATGGACACATCCACACAATCAAGGGCCTTACTAATTGCCACCCCTTCCCAGTTTAACAAGCATCTTCCTCCTGACTGATGGACATCGAACAACTTGTGCTGCAGTTGCAGGGCCGACCCTCCACCAAACTAACGAGGTTTGGTGCACAGTTCTTTTTCGAAACGGGGACTACGCATTTTCATGCTAGATGGTGGGAGGGGACCTGCCTCAAAAAGCTGCACTGATGAGTAAATGTGGCGCATGCCTGCGACATTCTGCCATTTGACAAATTGCTGTAACTCCCAAACCGGACATAAGGAAGACCAGTCATCATGGGTGAGCTCATTTACCCTCAGTTGGGTTCGTTGTCATTTGCCTTCGCGCAAAGCATTGCCGAAACCCCAGCAAGCGCGCATTTCATGCACCCAGCGCAGCATACACGCCCGTCCACAACCAGGCTCCTAATCCAACTCGGTGAAGCAGAAGGAAACAACCGACCTCTTAGGAGTGTCACGAGGGTTGTTTGCAATGTGGCTGCTGCAAGGCTTCTTGGGGACTTGTCGCACACAGCTTCAACGGAACTGCAGCTCTTCCAGATTGAAATTCCAGTGCGGGTTCTGCCAGAAGACGGGGCCTTGCTTGCACTGCTTGCGCCTTCTCGCTGCAGGATACAGAGGCAGCATCCCCAGCTTCACCACCAACCGACCGACCGACCGACCGACCGACCGACCGACCGACTGACCCACCCACCCACCCATCCACCCACCCACCAACCAACCAACCAACCAACCCACTGTCCGACCGACGGCCGACCGACCGCCCGACCGAGCGAGCAAGCAAGCAAGCAAGCAAGCAAGCGTCCTTGTGCACGTCCATGCTTGCTTGTCAGAGAGTACGCGACATGCTTCCTACTGTTGATGGACGAAATCCAGCACCACCTAAGAAATCCTTGCAAATACCAACAAACAATAGTTTTCCATGGTTTCAAAGTTGTGCCAAACTTCGCCATCCGCAGTGCCAATGTCTAGGCATTCAAAAACAACATAAATATGTGTGTGTGTGTGTGCGTGCGCGCAAGAATTCCTGCGCGCGGGTGTGCCTGCCGTGTGCGCGTGTGCACGTCATGGGCGCATGTGGGCGCGTGTGGGGGCGCGCGGGCGGGCATATGTGAGGGCGCGTGGGCGTGAGGGCGTGCGAGCGTGCGCGTGCGCCTGTGTGCGGGCGTCTGCGCCTGTGCGCGTGGGCCGTGCTCGCCGCGCCGCGCCGCGCCGCGCCGCGCCGGGCCGGGCCGGGCCGGGCCGGGCCGGGCCGTGCCGTGCCGTGCCGTGCCGCGCCGCACACAGACACACAGACACACAGACACACAGACACACAGACACACAGACACACAGACACACAGACAAACAGACACACAGACACACAGACACACAGACACACAGACACACAGACACACAGACACACAGACACACAGACACACAGACACACAGACACACAGACACACACAGACACACAACACACACACACACACACACACACACAGCACACACACACACACACACGGCAGGCACGGCACGGCACAGGCACGGCACGGCACGCACGGCACGGCACGGCACGGCACGGCACGGCACGGCACGGCACGGCACGGCACGGCACGGCACGGCACGGCACGGCACGGCACGGCACGGCACGGGCACGGCACGGCACGGCACGGCACGGCACGGCACGGCACGGCATCGGGTCTGTGGTGTGTGTCTGTGTGTGTCGTGTGTGTTGTGTGTCGGTGTGTGTGTGTTCTGTGTGTCTGTGTGTCTGTGTGTCTCTGTGTGTGTTGTGTGTCTGTGTGTCTGTGCTGTGTCTCTGTGTGTCTCTGTGTCTCTGTGTCTCTGTGTCTGTGTCTCTGTGTCTCTGTGTCTCTGTGTCTCTGTGTCTCTGTGTCTCTGTGTCTCTGTGTCTCTGTGTATGTGTATGTGTGTGTGTGTATGTGTATGTGCATGCGTATGTGTGTATCATGTGTGTGTGAGAGTGTGAGTGTGAGTGTGTGTGTGTGTGTGGTTGTGTCTGTGTGTGTGTGTTTTGTGTGTGTGTGTGTTGTGCGCTGTGTGTTGCGTGTTGCGTGCTGCGTGTTGCGTGTTGCGTGTCGGGTGTGATGTGTTGCGTGTTGCGTGGTGCGTGGTGCTTGGTGCGTGGTGCGTGGTGCGTGTTGCGTGTTGCGTGTTGCGTGTCGCGTGTTGCGTGTTGCGTGTTGCGAGTTCCGTGGTGCGTGGTGCGTGTTGCGCGTTGCGTCCTGCGTTTTGCGTGTTGCGTGTTGCGCCTTGCGTCCTGCGTTTTGCGTGTTGCGTGTTGTGTGTTGCGTCTTGCGTGTTGCGTGTTGCGTCTTGCGTCTTGCGTGGGGTGTGTTGTGTGTTGTGTGTTGTGTGTTCTGTGTTGTGTGTTGTGTGTTGTGTGTTGTGTGTTGCGTATTGTGCGTTGTGTGTTGTGTGTTGTGTGTGTGGTGCGTGGTGTGTTGTATGCTGTGTGTTGTGTGTTGTGTCTTGTGTGTGGTGTGTTGTGTGCTGCGTGTTGCGTGTTGCGAGCTGCGTGCTGCGCGCTGCGCGCTGCGTGCTGCGTGTTGCGTGTCGAATGTTGCGTGTTGCGTGTTGCGTGTCGCGTGTCGCGTGTCGCGTGTCCCGTGTCGCGTGTCGCGTGTTGCGTGTTGCGTGTTGCGTGTGCTGTGCGCAGTGTGCTGTGTGCTGTATGCTGGGTGCTGTGTGCTGTGTGCTGTGTGCTGTGTGCTGTGTGCTGAGTGCTGTGTTCTGTGTGCTGCTTGCTGTGTGGTGTGCGGTGTGCGGTGTGCGGTGCGGTGCGCGGTGTGTGGTGTGCGGTGTGTGGTGTGTGCTGTGTCTGTGGTGTGTGATGTGTGTGGTGTGTGTGGTGTGTGGTGTGTGGTGTGTGGTGTGTGTGGTGTGCGGTGTGTGTGGTGGGTGGTGTGGTGTGTGGTGCGTGGTGCGTGTTGCCTGTTGCGTGTTGCGTGTTGTGTGTGGTGTGTGGTGTGTTGTGTGTGGTGTGTTGTGTGTGGTGTTGTGTGTGGTGCGTGGTGTGCAGTGTGTGGTATGTTGCGTGTGGTGTGTTGTGTGTTGTCTGTTGTGTAGTGTGCGGTGTGTTGTGTGTGGTGTGTTGTGTGTTGTGTGTTGCATGTTGTTTCGTGTCGCGCGTCGCGTGTCGCGTGTCGCGTGTTGCGTGTTGCGTGTTGCGTGTTGCGTGTGTCGTGTCTTCTGTGTGCAGTGTGCTGTGTGCTGTGAGCTGTGTGCCTTTTGACGTGTGCTGTTTGCTGCGTTGTGTGCGATGTGAGGTGTGCGGTGTGCGG